TGTATTATTGTATATTTGATATGGAGTGATGAGGCCTTCCATATGTGGCCGTCTACCAATAGTGGCACTCCATTGTGTACTGTATATTTAGGTCCAGTGATTGTAGAGGCAACAGTATGTATATATAAGGATGAAATATGGTGTATTGTGATTCATCCTCATTCTTATCAGGATAGTGTGCGTGAAAAATGAAAACCACCTTAAGGTTTGATAATGATAAATATCAATACAGCAAAATATGGATTAGAGAAAAAGAAAATTGTAGCTTTTTGAAAATGTTATGTTCATTTATAAAAGTCCTGAGAAATATTATTTGTTATTCAAAGAAAACATTCCTAAGAACAGTTGACTGTGTTCTGATCGTATGGTAATATACAATACATATATCAATTTATTTGTGATAAAAGTGCACATTTTATTCTCTTACTTTTTGCCTTCAATCTCCCCCTTTTTAACTAATCCCTCCAAAATCAGATGAAAAAGTGGCTATTTCTTTTGTATATTGGGGTCCCTATCTGCCTGTATTATAAGGAATCAAGCATGCTGTTACATAGTTGATGATTTTGTTGTTCAAAACTTGAAATTTGTCTTGGTTATCTTTTCTTGCATGATACTATCTGTATTTTAAGTATCGTAAGTATTTTACACATCTTTTGATTTTTTAATCTGTACAAATGTTTTATTGGTTGTCACACTTGTTCAGTCAGGGAATCTGTTTTACATTTAACTAGCAGTTCCTCATTGCTATCCATTTTAACCCAATATCAGGAACTCCTCAGATATCCACTGGTATAGTTTTTTTTTTTTTTTAATAGTCACTTTACTCAAACTAACTTCCAATAGAAGGGACCATTTCTTGAACTCTTAACCTCAGCGTAAACATAAAAAATGATGTGACACTTTGGTATGAATTTAAGGCCTTTACAGACTTTTGTTTCCACATTTGATTTGTTGGCATTTGCTGAAACTAGGATATTAAACTATGATGGGTTTGATTGTAAGATAGTGGTTGTTAGTATGGATATAGTGACTATAGGGTACAGTGAAGCTGTCACATTCTATAGAGTGATGGAAATGAAGCAGAGTGCAGTCCACCCTCGCTGAAGTAATAAATACCTCTCCCAATTCATTTTCAAACAATTTGAAAAACATAGATTTTTCTACCTCTCAATATCAATGAATTATGTCAAGCCAAATCATGCTTATACACTAATTTCAATAAATGTTTTAACCAATAGAAAAACTAGGAGTTTTTGTTTTCTTTGACTGCTTTATAAATTATATTGGTGATGTACCATTGCCAGATATTGTTATTTGTTATACATGGCACTGCTCCTACCATCTTCACACAACAGCAGTGATGGCGATGCACCTTTGTGGCTAGGTAGGTAACCTAATGTTAAACCAAAGTATAAACTTTTGAAGGCAAAACATGGAATTATGGGTGCCTTACAGTAAGCATGTGTGTCCATCTGTCGCCTCTTTCATTCCCAGAGATTATCTCAGAATACACAAGGCCAATCTAAATTTCACATGATATAGTTTAATGTGCTGATGTGTAAGGGTTTAAAACATTCTTGAGGTTGAGGATGTTGATTCTAAATATAGAACAGGGAATACACTTTTAAGTGTGAATGTGGGTGAGTGTGAGCATGTGTGTGGGTAATTGAAGGTTGAATATTGATGATTTGTATAGAAATAGCGATATTTAGTCAAAGTGCTGAGAGAAAAAACTGCTGTAAGTTTTAATTGATAAAGTCCAACATCATAAGATGGTAGGCTATTCAATTTGTCCTACGTCATTGGTCTGTCCATAAATAATTTTTGCTATCACTTTTGGATTTTGACTTTGCAAGTTTGTTATTGCTTTATCTTGAGAAGTCCCGGATTGATCTACCTTAAATTTCATACATAGGTTCCCTTTTGTCCTTAGTTGTGCTTGTTAGATTTTGGTGCTGATCAGAAAAACAAAATGTCATAGGCGTTCATCTTTGATTTCATGTAGTAAAAATTGTTTTCAGTATTTCATAAGAAGTACAGAATGGATCTTTCACAAATTTTATATTTATGTTCCCTTTGGTCCCTACTTGTGCCTGTTTGAAGTTGGGACAGATCAAAAAAACAAAATGGCTTCCAGTGATCATTTTTGATTTGGCAGGTAAAGATGAGTTGAGAAATCTCCGGACAAGGTTTGAAATGATGAGAAAAAAAATTAATGGGCAACAATTGTGTGAACTTTTTTTTATCAAGATGCTGTTCAGGAAAATACAATGTTATGTTATGGTTGTAAAACCTACCAAATTCCAGAGAAATTGCAAATGATTTACCACTTGGGGATCGAAGGCGATTTCTGTACAAGATTAAATGCTGAAATAAGAGGCACATATGGCCTGTTTAACTTGCATGGTTTAGTTTGCAGAAATTGATTCATTTATGCTAAAAGAGAAGTATTAGAACAATTTATCTATTTCCCCTATTAGACCCTGGCCCTCTGCCCCAATGGGTAAGATGCACTGTTTATACAAAACTTCAGTTCTTTCCACCCAAGGATGCTTATATCTGAATAAAAATTATTCAAGAATTTGCTCCATTTCTACTATTGGGCCTCCCCTGCCCCTCCCAAGGGACTGAAACACACTGTTCATACAAAATTGATCTTCTTCACCCTGGCATGCCCCAGACCAAATTGGGACAGAATCCAGCTATTGGGGAAAAAAGTTTTTAATAATTCCACCATTTTCCCCTAATGACTGCCCCAGGGGGCTGAGACTCACCTGTTATACAAAATTGAATACTTTTTATCCAGATTTAAAAGAATTTGTCCTATTCCCCCTTTTTGGCCCTGCCCCTCCCATTCCAGTTGGCCCAGTGACCTGAGAATTATACAAAGTGATTTTCATGCTCCCAAGGATGCTTCTACCCCTGCCATTGGAGGGGTAGGGCCTCAAAGACCCAACATTAACACAAAAATTATTCCCTATCACCCCTATTAAAGGAAAAGGATTTGAAAGAATTCACTTGATGTCCCTTATTGATCCCCATCTCTCCTGTCACGAACTGCCTCAAGACCCAATGTTTATACCCAACGGATTTCCATTCACAGAATGATGCTTCCGTCCAAATTTAAGCAAAATCCAATAAATCCTACAGGAGAAGGATTTTTTATTTGCTCATTTTCCCCTATTGGGTCTCACCACTACGGCCTCATTTTCCCCTATTGGGTCTCACCACTACGGCCTCATTTTCCCCTATTGGGTCTCACCACTATGGCCTCAATGTGCCAAGGCCCACTATTTAAACATAATTCAGTCCTCTGCACCACCAATGCTTCAGACCAAATCTGAGAAAAATTGATCCTACAGGAGGAATAGGATTTCAAAGAGTTTGCTGTTTCTCTTACTTGGCCCGACCACTCCTGTTAACTGGTAAACTGTTTCCCCCATGAATGATTCAGATCAAATTTCAGCAAAATCCAACCATTCCTACCTCAGGAGTAGGATTTCAAAGAATTTGCTCTATTTTCCCTTTTGGCCCCACACCTTCCAGCCAAGGATGCCAAGACCCACAATGAAATACTGATTCTGCTTCACTCTTGGATGCCTCTGACCAATATTCAAGGTCACAACAGCCAAATGTGTTAAACCTTTGAACAATTTCTGATTAAGCTAAAGACTTAGGATCATATTTGTCCAAAAGGTTCCCTTACTGGTGCCCACATAGTGTGTGAAAAAATAGCTTGACCCATAATGATATTTAAGGTCATTGGGGTTAGATTTGGTAAAATAGTTAATCAACTTCTTCTGATTAACAGTTGGTCATAAAGATCCAGGTGAGTGATACAGGCCCTCTTGCTTTTACTGATAAATATTTTACAACATTATGAAGCAAAGTTGATGAATGAGCAGTAAACAAGTAAATCAAGGTCACAGAGTTGAAGGTCAAATATTGACATTTGCACTGGAATATCCTTGGTTGGGACAATTTTCAATGAACAATAAAGCTGACCTAAACTGAATGAGAGCCCAGGCCACTATGCAGCAGGAGATTAATGGTAATAAGAATAAAAAAAGTAGAGGCTATCCCATTACAACACTTAGTTCACTATTCTAATGATATTAAACATGTAAATGAAAACACTTCTAGTTAAACTGAGGATCAGAGTCGGACATGTTGCAAGACCCTTGCTGTCAGTAAACTAAAAAGACAAAGAATCCCCAAAGATCCATGGGCCTTAACAGTCACCTGACTATAAACACCTTTATAGAAAAAGAAAGAAGAAATTGACCTTGAAAGCATTTGAATAAAATTTGAAGCCATCCATCCAATTATGTTGAAGAACTAATATCAATAGCCTGAACTCTTTGGTAATTACGGAGAAGTCTTTGAATATTTCAACACAATTGACTCCTGTGACCTTGAAAGTGGGTAAAGGTCATTATTTTAACAAACTTGGAAGCCCATTATCTCGGCATGCTACAGGCCAAACATCAGCACCCTAGACCTTTATTTGTTATTGTGTAGAAGATGTTTAAAGATTTCAACACATTTTACCCTGTAGCCTTGAAAGTGGGTCAGGATCAATCATGCTAGCTAACCTGAAAGCTCTCCATACAACCATATTACTGGTCCAAATATCAGTACCCTAGGCCTTTTGGTTAGTGAAGATGTTGTTTGAAATGTTGAGGCCAGATGGACGACCCTTGCGGCCAGGTGAGCTAATAAAACTAGGGCAAAATATAAACAAACAACAGATCTACAGGTACACAAAGACTGCTGAATAGTATAAGGAGATTAAGTCCAGGTGTATTGGAAGAGTACACGTCTTCTGCCTCATTGACAATCCCCACCACCTAAATCTTGGTCAATCCAAGTAGGTACTGTAAATTTTGTTTGCAGAAGATTTCTTTCACGATTCCTATTTGGAGGGACTGGCAAATGAACAGCCCATTTCAATATCCCCATCAACTGTTGAGGAAGAAATAAAAACAAATGCAAATAAATCAAAACAACAAAACTTTTATTCCAAAGAATAGGCCTTATCATGAAGCTTGATGGTGTTGGCTTCCATAAAAAGGTACACTGAAACACACAGAAGATACATTCAACCTCTATCACATTCATTTTTACCACCAGTATAAATATTGTTTTGATGTGTGACAAACTCTAAGGCATCAAACAACTGCATATCTCAAGTAAGAAGTTGGTTCAGCCAATTGACGTAGCTCTCTATGTTTAAGTCCTGGGTGGTAATTAGAAATACTATCCTTTATTTACAAATGTGTAATTAATATCCGCATGAAACATGGTGTTGCTTGTTGGTCTACTTTACTCTGCATGTTCTCCATCTTCATGCCCGTGGCCTGACAGCTTGAAGTAATCTTTGCTGGTCAAGAGTACTCTATCGTGGAATCCTTTTGGGTGGTCTGGGTGGTTTTCCAAATCCTTGTATTTCAAACTAAAGGAGAACAGCTACAACAGTAAAATTAATAGAAACACAGTTAATAACTTTTTTAATGAAAGATATTGATTTTTTTTGGCAGACGTAGTTCCCACACAAAATTTCAATTTGGATTCAAATGTGCTGAATCATAAAATACTATGGGACCCCATAATCCAAGGAGACTCCTTGGATTTGAAAAATCTATCAATGATCTAATATTATTGCCTGCTGGCATCTAAACCTGATTTAGTTTTGAAGGACTCACTTGCATATTATCGTTTGAAGAATTTGCAGAAGTTAGTGAATGTGACCTTGGAACTTTTAACCTTGATTGATGAACATTAACCACTATGGTACAATTTAATGTAAAATATGATGTGAAGATACTATTGAATAAATATGAACTAAATCTCTTTTCAAGATGTGACAGTTCAAAACGGGACACTACGGGACAAAAGAATATGGATAACTCTAAATGTTTCCCATCCCTCATCAACATGAAATAGTAAGAACATAGAAATATTCCTATTCATGACCTGCAGCCAGAATGTGGCAACTGGTCCACAAAGACCTCAAACCCATGACCCAGAAGAGGAGGGCAAGTTATAAAGACGATCAGACACCTTTACAACTGGGCAGCTGCCTTTGAAGAATACATCAAATTTTGAATGAGAACTGTTATATTAACTAACCAATAATAATGTTTTAAAATTTATATATGCTAATAAAACACAATATCACTATGTTCTCAATGCTTATAACCAGTGTTTCACAGCTGACTAACCTTGTATTGATGTTGGCTGGACTTTAGTAACCATGGATGAGAGCGGCTATCCTTCTTCAACCTACAAATAATGAATATTGACAATAACAAACTTGAATCTATCAACAATAATAAATCACATATCACCTAAAATGACTTATAAAATATGAAGGGTGAAACAATGTAAGTAATAGGTCTGTAACAGAATTATTTGTCAAAAGCTGATAATATTGAGTCAAAACCAGAATATCATAGTTTTCATATCTTCACCATTTAAGGGCAGGAACCAAAGTATTACAATACTTCTCTTTCTCTCAATAAAAAAATCACAGTTAAATAATCTGAGGTCAAAATCATGCACTGGAACTTCTCAGAACTGACCATGCATGAGTCATGAATATCTTGCCTTGTTTAGAGAGGGTTCAGTTTGCAGAAGCCTGGGCTGGGATATAATTTATCTGATTCCATTTGTACATTACATTATCCATGCCATTGGCTTTGAGCATTTACACAAATAGGAGTGGTATTTATTTAAAAAAAAATGGGACAGTTTGAACCCTTACTATTCTTGTGCAATTAACAACTCAAATTGTTAAAAAATACCATGATATCACATGTACACCTTAGATGCCAAAATAGTGGCATCAGAACAATCACTCCATATGGTCGCTATTCATATTAACAGTTGACACTGTGGGTCGAAGGTTGTAAATTACCATCCTAAGCAATTGATACTGCCAAACTGTTCACATCCATGTTGCTTAATTGGCATTGGTTCAGTGTGATTTCTCTCATGCTTGAGGCCCCATCTCTGTATTACATATCATAGTAGTTTATTTTGAAAAGTTATTGACTATTTCAACAAATAATTGTATCCCCCAACCCTTGCATTTCTGATGGCTATCCTTCCGCTTTCTCTTTCTGATTATTCGAACATTTAATTTTTAACACTGGCATGATAGTATAAGACAATAACAGATTAGATGTATCTATCAAGAAGAGATTCCAGAGGTTTGCTGGCAAAAAATAATCCTCAAGTATCAAGTTGTAATGGTCACTTGTAAGCCATTTTGTTTTTATATCAGTCCCAATCGAAATAGCAAAACTAGGGACCAAGGGGAATCAGTTCCAAATTCAAAAAGGCACAACTATCGAATGGAACCTACATATGAATTTTGAAAAAAGTGCACCCAGTATTTCTCCAGAAATAGCCATGACAAACATTTATTGTCAAAATCCAAGAATTTTTGAAGGAATAATGACAGATGGACCATTGACAAATGATGAAAATGAGATAAAATGTATCATACTTACATAACATCTGAGCTGAAGAACAGAGACCTGGCCATGTACCATACACAAATTACACAACCCCCAAGTGTTACAATGTGGATGGGCAGCAGCTGAAAGCAATCAAAAAGGTATTAAGAATCATTGTAATCAAAGACATACACATCAAATAACAAAATATGACTTTCAAAAAATTGTTTCCTTTAGTTTTGATCTTATCTATGTCAAAATGTTTTTTGCGAGACCATATCTGGAATACAGAGCAAGGAAATCCATACTGACAAAGAAAACAAAACTCAAATATACCTATATCATTTAAGTAAAAAGAATTACTTATACACTGAAAATCAAGGAAATACAATTGGAAAAATATCTGGATTTCAGCTCAAGTAGTTAGAATGTACCATTAACACACATGGGTGCCTCTGCTTTCACTATATACTTGATAACTTTTGAATTGATGGACATGATAGAAAATTCATGCTTTTGCCAAGCAGATAGCATATCGCACATTATGTCTAGGTAACAGTAAACAACCTCAATCTCTTGTTTTAGTTTATGATTGAAGAAAGCATTTCTTATGTTATATGCTTTAGATGTTATGATTAGGAATGATAATAAATTCTTTAGCATCTGCTGGGAAAAAATGGTTGTCTACATAAAGTCATTAGCCCATGGCTAGTGGGCCTGTAATTTACACGAGCCTAAGCTGAAAATTTGGCAGCCTTGGTCATCATTATAGTGTATCTTTACACCCTTGAATTGTACCAGGATTGAAAGAATTTAGTTATCAAGACAACTGAAGATACTAATATTAACAATATAGAAGAGTTTATAGGTGGGCTACCATACCTCTGTAACAGACTTCCTATGTATATGTAAGCATGTCAGAGATCATTATTTATTTTAATGCCTTGACTAGGATTCAAACCCTCTAGTTAAATAGTCTTATGTTAAACTAATCAAGCTTAAGAGATGACATCTGCAGTTTAGTGGTATATTGTGGCTAGTATTTTCCAGAGTTACAAAACAAACAAGAAGTTATAAACCATTTTAAACTGCAAGTGATGTTCTAACAAATTACATTTCACAACAACCAGGATTTTACATATTTTATCACTGCTTTCCATGCTTATTGGGATGAAATAATACTTGGTAAAGCAATTTAGAATGTGTTATGGTTCAAATGCAAACTTCTGATTAAGTTATAATCAATAATCATCAGATATGAAATGAGGATTTTTGCGTTATTCCAAGAATGAATTTTATTGGTAATCAGATGGATATTTTTTAAACATCTTTTTATTTGTTTTTAATTCTTAATCAATGTTAACATCAAGAACGTTTATAAGCACAAATTTCAAAATTTGATCTAAATCATGTCATTCCCAAAGGAGTGAAACTGGTCAAGCATGAACATGACCTTTGGTGTTATCAAATGACCATCTGTAACATGTCTTAAATGGTTCAGAGCACATGATAACAACTCGAAGCCAGCCAACTTTCATCGGGTACAGATAAAATGAGATGAATGATTTCTTAGCTTTTCTAAGAAGTGCAAACAATTCCAAAATGTTGGTGGTTTATATTGGGCACATTCAGTCATAAAGACCCAGCTTTCCACGACGTCCCCAACCCGAAGCAGTGGGAGACATTAGCTAAAGGATAAAACTTGATCAGATAATGGCAGGCTTAAAATAAGCTGTCAAATTTTAGTAGAGGCTTGATGTTTCAACTTCCATTACTTTTTACAATATGTAAAAACTCCAATCTATACAGTGTTGGTTTATAGCATGTTATAAATGAATCAGTCAAATTAAGTGTTTACAATAATTACAAAGGACAAGGAACATGTTATTTATTCATATACACTAACTGTATTTATATAAATCACATATGAAGTAGGATAAAAAAAAACTTATATTCCGCCAGTTAGTTTTAAGATGAACCAACTGTTTCAAACACTGATTATATCTCCATGCGTAGATGCTTCAGTACCAGTACATCTATGTATGAACCGAGAGATGTGCTATCGTTGAAGGTCATTTTCCAAAGCGATGTAATTATTACTCATCAATTAAAATCGCATTGTTTTATCATGAAAAATATAACTGCTTATTTCGAATGTCAAATGCTGTATTTGTCTGAAGCTGACAAATATTTTAAAATCAAACCCCACATTAACCAACTTGCATTATTGTACATGCCTTGCAGCTTGTGTGACATTGTAATAATGATCAGGGTTACCAACGAGATTTCCGTTTTTATTTAACTTTCGTAACACTTACACTGCTATAATGGCTATCCTTATTAAGAACCTCTTTCCCAGCACCAATCATAAGTCTGGGATTAGTATGGTATGGCGAAGGACCGCCGTGGCGTAAGAGTTTTGTTAGATGCACCATCTTCTGCTGATAGTGTTACTCGAAAATGGCGACATGTACTCTCTATTAAAAATACATTTGACATGAACTAAATAATATTTGAGTTTAGAGGTGATATTTCTACTCTAAGTATAGACTTGAATTATTTTGATTTTATTTTCTGATGTTATGATGACAAATATGGTTTATATCTCCACATTCCACTTTATGTATATTTATAGGTTTTGAGAGTACAATCAAGAAGCGTGTTGGAGACGGAGATTTTTACTTTCAAGCGTCGCGCTCATCTGACTACTTTTAGTTCGCCAGTCAAAATTAAACTATCAGCATGTCTGAGAACAACTTAGAATTAGAAGAGATTGACCCCAGCGTGGAATTTTTGTATAGAACAATGTGTAAGATGTTGGATTATTTGAAGTTGAAGCCATAAACTGACTCGAGTTTTATTACCTGACTTTGTTGACTTGGTCCCTAAGACTCTGACAGTTTTGTCTGCATGACCACAGCTTGCACAGGGCACATTACAATAAGAGCCGGGCAAATGTATACAACTGAGTCATACCTGGTTGCAATCATGATGTACACATCGAAAAAGGGGACGACGAATCAAGCGAGTTGCTAAAACCAATTATTTTTGTAATAGGTCACAATTTCCAATGAGTTGGTTGAATTTCTTTGTTGCAATTTTTGGTACTTGGCAACTTGCATCCCTTTAGCAACATGTTCCGACGATGAGACATGAACTTTCCTTAACTCATTATTAAAATATCTCATATTTCTTTTATTTCCACCACACTATTCACATTCAGTGTTTGTTGCTTAATAAGGACTGTACATGTATACTGAAATTATGTAATGGTAACATTAAAAAAAAATCACCTGAAATTGAGCAAATATGCCAAAAACAGGCTTACATAATGTGTCATCCACTTGTTAGGCCAGACCTAACTCTATAATCAAATCTGCCTATATAACTGAATTTGCTAGTGCTCCAGTATCTGACAAATAACAAAGTTTGTGTCACAATTGGCCTAGCAAAACTACCCAGCTTTGGAAAATTTTTGATTTGTCACAAAACTATTGGAGTTGCCTCGCTGGGAGTGGTCTGGATTGAGAGATATATACTTTTTCTTTAATTTGGTATATGATTCACTGTATATCATGGCCTGACACTGTCACCAGACTTCATCAAACATGATTAAACTGAGATTTCAATTAGTCAGACACTTATCTGGCAGTGAAATCAGACAATCAATCCTTTTGAATTAGCTTAAAACACATCTTTACATGATTTACTGTATGTCATGCCCGGAAAGTGTCTTTAACAGTTCCACTATGATGGTCTTTAAACAGAAAAGAAGAGATATGGTAATGAGTAGAGGGGAAATACTATGAAGCTATGGGAGAAAGTGGGGTAAAGAAATGAGGTAGAGAGGGGTTGTCTTTACTACCAGACCTGTTTTTTTGCTATAATTTTGAAGACAACCCCCTTGGCCCAATTAAAGCTACTTAACACTAACTTGGCACATCGCAGCAAGGGGACTGGTCAAAGCAAATAGGAAGAAGACAGGATCCTACTGATATCAATATGTTTATAATATTTTGGAAGTCCATCACAATTACTTAATAAATAGTCCCAATTGCTAGTCTAATTCTAACCTCTGGGCTGGTATTTTCACACCTGCTCTTTTTAGAAGTATTACATAGTGATTTTTATTGTGTGAGTTCATTCTCACATAGACCCCCATTTAAGTTTCATCCAACAGACTCGTGTAAGTGGTTAATTGTTAGTAAGGTGCTAGTGCTGATATGTTTTAGGCATCAATATTTAAGTCTTCATTCCATTTCTGTCTACCACTTTGTAAACTGTTGTATTCAGGAAATTGAAAATGTTGTCATAGTATTTAGTTCCCCACTTGGAACTAGAGTGGGCTATAGTTCGCGATGTGTCCGTCTGTACATCTTTCCGACTGTCCTTCCACTATCTTGTCCTGGTCCTATCTTCTAAACAACTAAATGATATAGATTCACTTTGATAAGACTGTGTTATGTATCAAAATAGGTAACTCTGAGCTACATTTTGACCTTTGACCTAAATCATAGAATCAGTTTGTCTGGGTATCATCTTCTACCCTACTTTTTACTGGATCTTCATACTTTGGTATGTGTCTGCCTTGGTGAGGTGGTGTGTCATGTATCAAAATTAGGTCACTCTGACCTATATTTTAATCTTTGAATGTACCTTATGAAACAACAAATTATTGCAATTGCCCTGATGTAGCCCTAGCTCACTGGGGCAAAACCAGTCAGCATGTATGATACAGTTAAAAGTAGATACAACACTGTTAACTTAGGAGGTCGGGTTGTGTTGTGATTGCATCTCCAGGTTAATTAATATGATGTTACAGTAACAATTTAAAAGGACGTTTCTTAAAAGGTACACTAGTCAAATGGAAAAGAATTAAGCTTTTCAATGCCATCAATTTCAAAATGATTTTACTTGTGCTGAATGGTATTGGTAATATTTCAGTTGTAAATAGCATAATGTATTTTTGTTTTTAAAAAGTTGAAAATCAACCTAGATAATAAAATTTGTCGTAAAAGTTAGCAGAATCAGTTTAGAAAATGATTAACCTTTCTCCTACTTTTAATTTTCAAAAAATGTACTTTAAGAAGAAAAAATGGTATTTTTACAAACTCGGCAAGGCAAGTTAACTTGATATTCATCACTGCAGCTTTATAAAGAGATATAGAAAGTCCCCAATTTGACACTTGTATGTGCCTCTATTTGACCAGTGCTCGTATTTGTCAACCAGTGCAAATTAAAAGAAAAGTTCATTTGTGTAACAAAAAGGATACGATTGAATTAAAATTATTTATAATAAAAGTTATGTGTTTCAAAGAGAAAGTTACTCAGGTTTTTGATGCCAGGGATTCAGAGACAATTTTCTTCATGTTCCACACTGAAAGTGGAAGGTGTATAAATTATAGGATAATATCTCGGTTTCATATAAAAAAAAAAGTAACTTCAATGTGTGTCCTCAAAGAAAATATCAAAAATAGGTAGGAAGAGGTCTTGATGAATGTTTTGTTTAGTTTGAAAATAACTCAGATTTTTGCTACCATTCATTCAGGAAAGATTACTACTTAGGGGGAAAATGGTATAAAAAGGAAAGAAAGCTTGTATACAAAGTTACAATATTGTTTTATCGTACTTATGTAATGATGTTCATATAAGAAATAAACAATTGACTTATCTTATAGAATTGATATAAATCATTAAATGACAAATGACAAAAGGATGCGATCTCAGCGATTTATTTTATTTATTTGTCACCAAAAACATAATTGTAACTTGACATCTGCAGACTCAGATTTTTTTGTTATCAAGTTATAAAGAGATAAAGGCAATGAGAGATAACACAGAGAGACAAACATATAAGTAGGGAGCATCACACCATACACCTCCAATATTCATCTAGGTCATGTAGTCCAATGCTCTGGCAGAGTTAACCGGACAACCAGACAACACTCCAGTTCTAAACTCAAGAGTTATGAGGTCAAGGCCAAAGAATACGCTTAACTACATAAATAGTTATAAGTGGAAGTAAACCATTTCTCTGTGGTTTATTTACCTCAATTGTGAATGCCAAGATAACAGTCTGTTTTATGATTTTTTTCTTTATTTATATCTTAATTTTGTTGTTGTTTCTATTCATGTTGCAGTACAAAGAGATCCAAAGAAACGAAGAGTAAAACCAGTGCAACGTCATCTCATCCAGGTTGACTTTGGAGGAGGAGACGATAGTGATGATGATAGTGACTTTGATGTAGAAAAACATCACAAAGGTTAAGTAACATTTTGGAGGTCGCTGTGAGGTGCATTTACTTCATATCTGTAATGCTTGGTCAGTAGGGAGGATTAAGTATGAAATGAATAATAGGTGACATTTGATAAATGGGCCTGCTGTTGAAAGGGGACTGAAAAGAATGTTTCCTTTTCCATCTGTTTTTAAAATTGTCAATAATTGAGAAAAAAGGTGAAATTTTGTTATTTTGACTTCTTACTGTATCATGTTTCTTAGGATCAGATGATTCTGATGCTGCAGAGTTAAGTGAGAAGGAAGACTGCAATGACGACAATGAAGAAGATGATAGCGATGAAGACGATGATAGTGATTCGTCTAGTGAAGAAGAAGAGGAATATTCCAAGGAACAGAAACACACTACAGAAAGAAATGAGATGGAGAACATGATGACCCAGTCTGGCGGTGATATTAAACAGGAAGGTGTTCCTAACACCAATGGAAATGGTGTGGTAGAGGTATATAAATCTGTAGATGTACTGAAATGTGTCATCATTCTTTTGACATCAAGACTTAATCTCTGTGTAAGCCCTTTGTGACACCTCTGCATTGTCCATTTAAGTCTCTAGTGACACCTCTACAGTGTTCATGTAAGCCCTTTCTGACATCATTACTGTGTCCATGTAAGCCCTTTGTGACAACACTACAGTTTCCATGTCGGTGATTTTTCCACCATATGTAAGTTTACCATTCAAATTACTTTTTCTCAATAACCAAAAGGCCCAAGGTGCTGATATTGGACCTGTAGCATGCTGGGATGAAGGGCTACAAAGCTTGTTAAAATGATTAATCTTAACTCACTTTTAAAGTCATAGGGATCAAATATCTTACTATCTTTAAGCAGGTTTTTAATAACCAAAAGACTTATGGTACTGATATAGGGCCTGTGACATACTGTAATCAAGGGTTACCTATTTTGTTCATGTGATTGACCTTGTTTAATTCACGTGGGCTGTTGTCCATCAGTCATCTGTTGTCAACTCTTTCCTTTTAACAACTTTTTCTCAGTAACGAATGGACCAAGTGTTTTGATATTTGGTTGATATGTTCTGCCTTGAACTAATATGCCTAGAGACATAATTTTTGGCTGGTATATTCCAAGGATGAAGGATGATAACATTTTTTAAAAGAAATTACCTTGACAAATATTTAAGGTCACAAGGTTCAAATTTTGTTATAACATTTAAATGATTTCTACTCATGAACTAATAGGCCTAGAGGCATGATATTTGGCTGGTATATATATATATATGCATATGCAGCCATATATATTTACCAGGTGAGCTCTGCAGGCCCATTGGGCCTCTTGTATTATATTGTGCATTATGTTTTACAGTCCAGCAGTATGGCCACCACCAGTGTGTTTCCGATGTATCGACACAAACAGATCCGTGTAACCATCTGTTGCGTTTGTCTCGGAGATATAAGGTATATTACTGAATAGATCAGCCACTTAGTCCCATAGCATCAGTGGCAAAAATCCTTACTCAGAGTTACATACTTTTAATGGGTATTGGGATTTAAGGAGAATCATATTAAAATGATCAGTCTTTATAGACTTTGCTGATCACATGAAATACTTAACCTATAACACAAGTGACATATTAAGGAACTTATGCAACTATGATGTATCTGTATTTGCTGCTGGGGACTTTAACCCACTTGAAAATATTGAGACAATGGAAGTCCCAATCATATGCCATAGCCATTATGCAAACCACAAGGACTACTGGTGACAAGTCCAATTTATAAGCATTAATTCCCTAGCATACCACAAGGACTGTACCGGTGACAAGTCCCATTTATAAGCATTGATTCCCTAGTATACCACAAGGACTGTACCGGTGACAAGTCCCATTTATAAGCATTGATTCCCTAGTATACCACAAGGACTGTACCAGTGACAAGTCCCATTTATAAGCATTGATTCCCTATAATAGTAACAGTGGAGATTTTCAGTTTAGCCGTATTAAGTTAGGTATGAGTTAAGCTTATGAGTATAAAGAGATGAATATAATCATGCTATAAGAGCCCAGTTACCTTTGCTCAAGGACTTACCGGTAGTCTCTTAGTCACTTTTTAATGATATGGAATCTTTTAAATCTTTAACCTTGTAATGCTTTCATGCGAATAGTATTATGAAGTGATGAAAATGCTTGAAAACTTTTGATAAGCCAAATGGTCTATCCCAATACTAGTTGACATTAGCGTCATAATCTAAACCATTGAGCCATGTATATATATATTAGGATCTCTAGAATTATACTTGCTTTTGAGGATTTCTGTCCGTTGAAAATAAAAATAATAGAAAGGAAAATATATTGGAGAATCATGATTCAATTTTAAATCTTTATTTGACAGTGAGGAAGATGATGAGATTGTGGAATGTGATAACTGTGGAGTATCTGTCCACGAAGGTAAACAACTCCCACGCATTCTTACTGTTTTGTGTCTAGAGTTTTAGACTAGCATGTTGAAACTTCATCAAATATATGTTCTGGAAAAAAGGCATTGAAAACTTGTTATCCAATATTTCCTGTCATGAAATATTTGTTTTGATGATGTAATACAGTAAAACTCACTTGTGTCGAGCGCGCTTGAATTGAATACATTGGATAAGTCAAATGTTTTGTTGTTCGGTCCAATTTTTCTCTTCATTATCCTTGTAAATTAAACACGGATGATTTGAACACTGTTGAGTCAAATAGTATGTTTGTGTTGAATATATTTTGTAGTCCATCCCTTCTAAATTCTACCAAAATTTCCTTTTTTGTGTCGAACATGCAGGTGTCACCTTGTCTCAAGTTAAATTTTTCTGGCTTCAGTGCAACTGATCAAGTGTGATTGGTCAGTCACGTCTGTGTTAACAAGCAGTATTGTAATTTTCGATCGAACATTAATCCTTGACCCTGATTTCAGAGATGAAAGTTAGATTTTATACAGAATTAGACAACCAAACTTTAAACAAGATACACTGTAGTCTGTTAATTGTAAATCTACTGTGTTTTGTTTAATTTGTTTTAGTGCACATGGCTGCCAGAAAACAAAAGAAAACAAACAAACAATTACTACCATGCAGATGCAGATTAATAAAACTACTAGTTTGTCATTAACACGTGTGTTTATAATTTTCAATACATATACTGATATACATGTACATATATACAAAGTGCAAGTTTTTTTCAAACTCTATTTTATGGTTACGCTCTAACAGTGCTGTATGTGTAAAGTTGTGCTTCAGTACAGTTGCTGCCGCCTTCACTTTTTCGTAACTCACCTCAGGAATATTAATGTTATATCAATGTAGAATGCTTATGAGTACATATTTATTGAATTTTATTTTTTACTTGTTATTCTTAAGGATATAAATCTTAGTACAATATTTGTATTTCTTACGTATCAATATCACTAATGTATTTATTAAGGTATCAATTTCACTAAGCTATGTGTATGAGAGTGGATGTGTATTCACACATTTCACATTATATTTTTTGTTTGATATTTGTACTTATAATTGTTTGTTTAAATAAGAAGATATCGTTAGTGTATGAAATTACAAAATATTTCTATTTATTTTTACTTATTCATTACTGTCACGCCATGCTATGAGACGCATATCTGTTAAACAACGGATGAAAATAGGGTCAATCTTTGATGCACAATATCTCCATTCATAGAAACACTGGATAAGTCTAATATTTCATTTAGTCCTGTCTGCTTTGACTTAAACATGTTTTATTCTGGTGCTACTTTCCTGTGCAATCTAGTTTCTGCTGCTAATTTGTGACTTTGCACTTAATATATTTAAGGTTGCTATGGTATCAGTGAGAACCAATCAAATGCGAGTACAGAATCATCAGCGAGTACAGAACCCTGGTTTTGTGATGCCTGTAAAGCTGACTGTAAACCAGTAAGTACAAAACAACAAGAAAATAAAAACTTATAAGCAGTATAGGAACTTATCAAAAGCATGAGATCAGTGAAAGTGTTGTCCTATAATGCATAACAGAATTAACTTTTTATTTCAGTCAACTTCTTCTTAATAACAGAAAGGCCCAATGTACTGATATTGGCCGTAACAAGTAGGGATGAAGGGTTACCATATTTAATAAAATTATTGACCTTCACACACTTTCAAGGTTAAAGGGGTCAAATATATGAAAATATTCAAACAGCTTTTCTGAGTAACCGAAAGACTGACAGTATTGATATAAGGCCTGCAGCATGCTGAGATAAAGTGCTACAAGGTTTGTTCAAATGATTGACCTTGACCAAGTTTCAAGGTTACATTGGTCAAATTTATGAAAATCTTCTAACAAGTTCTTGATAACTGTAAGGCCCAGGGTACTGATATTACACCTGTAACATGCTGGGATGAAGGGCTAACAAGTTTCCCCAAATGAATGACCTTGACCTATGCTATGCAGAAGGTATCATTTATAATAAATCATTCTGAATATTATTCAGTTATTCAATAACCAGAAAATTTTAGATATTGAAATTTCACCAATAGCATGCTGATATGATGGCGTCCAGGTTTGTTCAACTACACAACCTTGTTAAACTTTCAGCATCGTGAGGTAACTGTTATAAATTCTTCACAAGTTGTTGAAACTTGTTCAGTCACCTTTTAGTGTTTAATAAATTAATGTTAAATAAGAAACAGGTGAGTGATGCAGGCCAGTTGGGCATCTTGATTTTTTTTTTTTTTTTTTTTAGACATGTGAACTTTGTCCAAATCCTGGTGGGATATTCAAAGAAACAGATGCTGGGAAGTAAGTGTAATGAATTATATTGAATTAAATGGGATATGAATTAAAAGCAATACTTTCAGAAATTGAATGGACATATTATTTACAACTCCAGTTATGTTGTGATGCATTCTTGATACTCAAAGCATGGCAGTCACATTTGGTTACTACAGTAGAAGAAATTTGCATGGAAACAGCAGCAGTAATAATGACTGAAAACACAAGTATGTTGGGAAATGATCCCATTAGGGTATGTTCTTCATCTTTCAGTAAAGAATTTTTTGGGGAAAAAAAGAAAATAATTACTTCATCATGATGTTCTTTACTGTAACAATCTCATAGTTACAACAGATGATTTTTGGGCTGTAGAGCTATCATACTTGCATTATATATTCCACATTTGTACTTTCAAGAATATGCCTCAGTATTGCCAAAATAAATTTTTGGAAATAATTCAAAGTACATTTTGAGGTCATCTGAGATGAAGTCTTAAGTGACCTATTACAAATGTCTTTTGTCATTGCCTTTTATCTGGCATCGTGCCTCATAAACAATTTACATTTTCAACTTCTTCTCAATAACAAAAGATCAAGAGTGCTATATTGGGCCTGTAGCATGCTGGGATGAAAGGCTACTAAGGTTGATAAAATGATGACTTTGACCTACTTTTAAGGTCACAGATACTAAATACTGTATTTTCAGCCAATAAACCGCACCTGAGTATAAGCCTCAGGATCAGTTTTTAGGGATTTTTAAAATTTTAACAACATATAAGCTGCAACACTGTAGTTGATAATTGATATACTAGTAACAGATTAAGGAGAAAGTTTATTTAGATTGTCAGTGTATTATTTAATAAAGTTTACTGATGAATTTTGCACAAGTAATTCTTTATTTTATGTGTTTTTAAATAATGCCTGTCATTTATCAATGTTATCATCTTCCTGGTACACAGGTGGGTTCATCTGGTCTGTGCACTGTACACTCCGGGTGTGGCCTTTGGAGATGTGGACAAACTCAGCCCTGTTACTTTGTTTGAAATGCCCTACTCTAGGTGGGGTGCAAGGGTAAGTACAGAAGAAATACACCTGGTAAGATGCATGTCTAGATATAAATAACCCAATCCAGGTGATGCACTCAGGTAGGTACAAAATATCCAATCCAGGAAGAGTGCATTGGTAAGTAATCCAGGTAGGGTGCATTGTAAGTAATCCAGGTAGGATGCATTGGTAAGTAATCCAGGTAGGGTGTATTGGTAAGTAATCCAGGTAGGGTGCATTGTAAGTAATCCAGGTAGGATGCATTGGTAAGTAATCCAGGTAGGATGTATTGGTAAGTAATCCAGGTAGGGTGCATTGGTAAGTAATCCAGGTAGGGTGCATTGGTAAAGTAATCCAGGTAGGATGCATTGGTAAGTAATCCAGGTAGGATGTATTGGTAAGTAATCCAGGTAGGGTGCATTGGTAAGTAATCCAGGTAGGATGTATTGGTAAGTAATCCAGGTAGGGTGCATTGGTAAGTAATCCAGGTGGGGTGCATTGGTAAGTAATCCAGGTAGGGTGCATTGGTAAGTAATCCAGGTAGGATGCATTGGTAAGTAATCCAGGTAGGGTGCATTGGTAAGTAATCCAGGTAGGGTGCATTGGTAAGTAATCCAGGTGGGGTGCATTGGTAAGTAATCCAGGTAGGGTGCATTGTAAGTAATCCAGGTAGGGTGCATTGGTAAGTAATCCAGGTAGGGTGCATTGTAAGTAATCCAGGTAGGGTGCATTAGTAAGTAATCCAGGTAGGATGCATTGGTAAGTAATCCAGGTAGGGTGCATTGTAAGTAATCCAGGTAGGGTGCATTAGTAAGTAATCCAGGTAGGGTGCATCTAATACCAAATCAAGTAGAGATGTATAAGTAAGCACAGATTTCTTACTTATGATTTGGTGGTGCACAGGTGAATACAGAGATAACACAGCACATACCCACAAAATCAGAAGTCAGTGAGCACAGTGTATATATCCATGAGAATGACATAAATACTATCATGATTTATGGTGAAGTTGTATTTATTGGTTGGGATATTTCTGTACTTTGGGAACAGAAAGTATAACACTATATACAGACATAGTATCCTTTAGCAATGTGTGAAAAATGTGTTCAAACTAAAACTTGAAATGTTAAGATGTTTCTTATTAATATTGCTCTGTTACAGGAATGTTCGTTGTGTGAGGACGCACGGTTCAGCAGAACAGGGGTGTGCATCAGCTGTGACGCGGGCATGTGTAGGACTTACTTCCATGTCACATGGTAGGCATAGAATTCACCCTGACCATTTAATTGAAGTTTCATCAAGTGCTGTGCACAAATTTGACTTAATTATAACTTCAGCCAAAAAAATTATAATGACCAAGAGCATATTTACAAATAATAGTGATTTTAAAATGTGATATACAACTTGTAGAAGCATTAAAGTAAGCTTGTTAAAGCAGGTTGTTTATTCCCAAATATCTATCTAACAAAACAAAAACATTTTTTTACACTATTTAGATAGGATTTAGAAAAAAAAACCATTTGAGAACCAGAATTCAATTCTCTTGTATCCTGCCTATTGTATACTCGGGACAATTAAAATATCATGGAAGTAGAGAAGGGGAAAACAATCATTAGGCTATTTAGCTTTAAATGTATTTGAATGAAGAATAGCATTGCAACATGAGTATTCTTCAAGATTTTCTTTTTTTTTTTTCAAAATAAGTCCGTTTCAGAATAGGTCATATGATGAGGGCATGAGGCAGCAGTTTTGATAAATACATAGACAGGATTGTATCATTCCCTATATTGGATGTCAGGGCTTTAAAATTTCCTTCACAGAGCCCCTCTGTTTCCACACTCATATGTATGATATATAGGGGTTAACTAACAGTATATTGATATATTTCACCTGTGTGGTTTTAGTGCCCAGAAGGAAGGATTGCTGTCTGAGGCTGCTCCAGAGGAGTGCATGGTGTGTAATTCAACCAAACCTCACTGTACCGCCATATATATGATGATGTTATAAAGAAAGTTGTCATTATAGATCATAATTATGGCAGAAATATGTAAAGTACCTATACCTTCCAATTTTCTGCTGTTTTATCACTTATCAAATTTTTTTGCAAAGGTAATTGAAATGTTACAAGAAATTTCCTACTTATTCTCAATGTTGTTCACCAAATTTTATCATAATGTTGCCAAGCTTGTCAAATATCACACAAGTGCTTTCACTCACATGACATTTTTGAAAACATACTCACCAGTAGACTGTGTAGAATATTTTCTCTTTTCGCTGTGTAGTATATTCTTTTGTCTCCAATGTTTGCAGGATATTGCTGATCCTTTCTTTGCTTACTGTAAGATGCATGCTGATAAAATGATGGCACGTGCCAAACGTAGAAATTGGTTGGCGATACAGTCACATATCAAGAAACATACTGAGAAAGTAATAGAAGATGAGAAGGAAAAGGTAATTCTATGGATTCCATATTTACTTCATTGCCAAGTTGTTTCACACTTTATTCTCATTAATACTTTATAGTATCATGATGTGCTTTTTTGGTCGCATGAGACAAAGTGCCAGGGTGACATTGCGATCCCTCTTTTGTCCGGCATCGTGCGTTGTTCATCATAAACTTTTTAATTTTTTTACTTTTGTTAATACCATGATGCACTGTTTGATATTATATTACTTTTAATATCAATGTTTTCTTAAGTCACCAATTTTTGGACACGTGATATTATGATTTTTAGTCAATTTTCTTATTGGCCATAAAATGGTAATGCACAGTGCTAGAATCAAGAGTGTATATCACACTTTCAATAAAATCATCGATTAATTTCTTCACCCAAAGCCCATACCTGGTTTATTTTTCTGTCATTTTTATTTCAGTATGTCGATAGCAGATAATCACTATGTACAAAGAAATATTCATACAATAAATAATGGTTATTTCAATTTTCTTGGCAATTTTTCAGACACGATTCGACAGAAAGCTGAACAGACATAGACAAAAATACAGAATATCTAAGTTCAAGCGGCCGCCATCATGGGGTAAGATATTGAATACTCAGACTTGTATCATTTAAGGCAACAAAGCTTGTTCAAATCAATGAAATACCTTGAGTGCTTAGCCCATATTCAAGATTACATGGATGGTTGTGTGGTAATATTCAAACAATTTTATCTCAAGAAATCTTGATATTTAGTCAGTTGCAGGGATATCAGATTCCTTGTTATATAACTTCACTTACAAATTTCCAGCAGGGACTCTGGTATATGATTGAAAAGTTTGGTCATTTATGATAATTTAAAATACCGTATCAAATTACTAAGGCAGTTCAGTTCTTAAGTATTGAGCACCTATCTCAAGGGACTCATAAAAATGGCTATGTGTGTGTTCAGTTCCAACACAGAAGTTGGTGAGGTACCTAACATCCAGTCCATCCTGTGTGAAGAAGATGTTGAGGAAGGCCGAGCTAATGGGCATTATTACTCAGGTACAACATGTCGCAGAGGAAAAACAAGAGATGAGGAAAAAGACGCATATATCTCCAGCCTTGTCAGTCGAATTCATCAGTTACTACCTTGGTGTGTATACAAAACATAGAAAAGCACAGGGCAGAATAATAATTATAAATAATAAAATGCTTAATACTGTACGATTAATCATATTTTATCATTATTTCAACTTCACTTTTAATAATGAAATGAAAATATAATTGATACACATGGAGAGTATTCAAAGACTTCTTCACTGATAAATAGTAATATACTGTGATGAAGCAAGAACACTTATGAGAATAGAAATCGGTGTCATGGAAATTGCATTTCAAAATTTCTCTAATTATCCTTGCTTAACATCGTCATTTCATCAGAAAGTAAACATATTTCATAATTTACTATTTAGCTAATTGGTTATTATCTTATTCTTACAAAAACAAAAACATTTCTCATTTCACTAGTGATGATTGGGAGGTTTTATATTACAGAGAGGAATAGCAAGATTGAAAACATCAAAAGGAACATAGCAGAGAATGTAACTCAGAATAATGCATTACAGAAACAAGAGAATGTTTTACGTCTACAGTATGATCAGGTAAGTACACACACAGAACAATATATATTACAGAAACAGGAGAATGTTCTACGTCTACAGTATGATCAGGTAAGTACACACACAGAACAATATATACTACAGAAACAGGAGAATGTTCTACGTCTACAGTATGATCAGGTAAGTACACACACAGAACAATATATACTACAGAAACAGGAGAATGTTCTACGTCTACAGTATGATCAGGTAAGTACACACACAGAACAATATATACTACAGAAACAGGAGAATGTTCTACGTCTACAGTATGATCAGGTAAGTACACACACAGAACAATATATACTACAGAAACAGGAGAATGTGCTACATCTACAGTACAACCGGGTACGTATACACAGAACAATATATACTACAGACACAGGAGAATGTTCTACATCTACAGTACAACCAGGTACGTATACACAGAACAATATATACTACAGAAACAGGAGAATGTTCTACATCTACAGTACAACCAGGTACGTATACACAGAACAATATATACTACAGAAACAGGAGAATGTTCTACATCTACAGTACAACCGGGTACGTATACACAGAGAACAATATATACTACAGAAACAGGAGAATGTTCTACATCTACAGTACAACCAGGTACGTATACACAGAACAATATATACTACAGAAACAGGAGAATGTTCTACATCTACAGTACAACCAGGTACGTATACACAGAACAATATATACCACAGAACAACCAGGTACAGAACAATATATACCGGTAGAATGTGCTACATCTACAGTACAACCAGGTATGTATACACAGAACAATATATACTACAGAAACAGGAGATGTTCTACATCTACACTACAACCGGGTATGTATACACAGAACAATATATACTACAGAAACAGGAGAATGTTCTACATCTACAGTATGATCAGGTACGTATACACAGAACAATATATACTACAGACACAGGAGAATGTTCTACATCTACAGTACAACCAGGTTAATTTGATGTACATACTGTATCAACAGGAGAATTTACTATGTACAACCAGGTATATTTCATAAAGAACAGTATTTCCAAAACCAGAAATTTCTTGTGATCTTTTCATGTTATAAATACTATTTATTTAATGAATAAATTAACTTCATTATTCTATTTTGGACAGCTGCTTGCCGATGTGGACAGACTAAAGGACCATTCACAGAGACTAAAAGTAGAGGGAGGAAACATGTACAACATGCTTACTGACATGACAATAAAGGTTAGAGATATAGAGGACTAATGTTAATTACAGAAAAAAAAATTATGGATGAATGTTTTAGGAAAACACAAAAGAAAACATGAATAAATGAAAAGTTTCAGGACTTAAAAACTGACAGTAAGACTATTAATAGTCTAAAAACAAATAAATTTGGTTTTTTTTTTCTGATTTCACTTGAAAATGTTTCCTGATATATTCACATAAAATTACATTTGACTTAAAGGCAGTGTCTTTGCAAATTGAATACTTAAAATGTTCACTATTCCCAAGTGATTGATGAGTATTAGTTTGCAATCCATTGGTCTGATATTTCTCTTAATTTCTCTCAAATTCAACTGCCAAATTTTGTAATATTAAGCTACGGTTTCGTCAAAAAATATTTCTTATATGTTTGCTTAAAATTATATATGATGTAATGGCTTTGTATATGCAAATCAAGTGTTCAAATGTTAATGTGTTTGGAACAGGAATAGAGTATAGGTTTGCAGTCTTTCTGGCAGTTCAACACTCTGTGTGTCAACATTTCTCTTAAATGTTTGTCAGTTTCACCTGCCAATTTTTTTGTTTTTGAGTGTAATAAGATCAAATTTTGTACCATGCTTGTTGGAATAGTTGGTCTGATTCATAGACAGTTTATTGCTGTATTTATGCAGCAATTTGCCCATGCCTGTTAATAATTCAGTCCATTTCTATAGATGTTCAATACAATTACAAACAAATGATTTATCCTTGTACTGTAATAACTCTCTAACTTTTAAATCAAAATTGAAATGTTGACCCCCTGGTGACCAGTAAGATTTAAAGACTGTACCTGGTCTGTCATAACTTTCTACTAAATCTCAGTAACTGCATCTATCATTGTCTGTTATCACCTTCAGCCTCTCACTATGCCTGAGATGTTTAACACCAAGCGGGCCCCAGTCAAGACCCCAACCAGGCAGGATAGTGTCCCCTGTGCTTCACCTCCTGCCATCATCAACCAGTAAGTAACAATCCCCAATTATGGGTTGCTTATACCTTTCTGCCTGTTTTTCCTTCCCAAAAGAATTCTGTGCTTAGAAAACTATTAAATACTTGTAAGTATATATTTTATGAATGAAATGAAGTTAAGAGCTAAGTTTCACAGAGGGACCAGAATTTTAATATCCTACTCCTTTGGTTGGAATGATTTGATTTTGCCCAAATTTAGTCTGAACATTGTTGAAAAAAGGGGAATCAATTATGCATGAATGGTAGGTCTCAGCACCCTTGGGCCTTGGGGGCAGGAGCCAATAGGGGTGAATGAGTGAATTCTCTAAAGTCTTACTCCTCCTGTAGGAATGATTCCATTTTGCCCAAATTTGGTCTCAAGTTTTGTTCGGTGAAGGGTAATCAATTTAGAATAATCCATGAGTCTTGGCCCCCTTTGGGAGTAGAGGCGAGGCACGAGATAGAGCTAATTCTTTAAAATTCTACTCCTCCTATAGGAAAGATTGGATTTTGCTCAAATTTTGGTTGGAAGCATTGTTAGTTGAAGGGGAATCAAGTTTAAATGGTAGTTATCGGCCCCACTGGGTCCTGAGGGATTGTGCCCAATAGAGGGAATAGAGTAAATATTTTAAAATCCTACTCCTATAGGAATGAATGAATATTTCCCAAATTTAGTCTGAAGTATTCTTCGGTGAAGAGAATTAGTTTTGTACAAACAATGGATTTCAGCCCCCAGGGGTAGGAGGGATTGGGTCAATTTGGGAAATAGAGCGAATACCTTAAAATCCTACTTCTCCATCAGGAATGATTAGATATCACCCAGATTTGGTCAAAAGTATTCTTTGGTGAAGAGGAAGAATATTTGTGTAAGGATTCGTTTTCAGTTCCTTGGGGGCCTTTGAGGTGGGGCCCAAATGGGGAATTTTTTTTTTAATCTTACACCTCTTATGAGATTAATGGATATTGTCCAAATTTGATGTGAAGAATCCTTGGGTGAAGGGGACAAAGTCCGGTATAAATGGTGCATCCTGGCCCCCAAGGCAGGAGGATAGGGCCCAATAGGGGAAATGTAAGTTCTTAAAAGTCCTTTCACCATTCAAGGATATTGTCCACGTTTGGTCTGAAGCAATGTTCATTAATAATTAATCTGACCCCTATTCGATGATTATATCAGAAATTGTTTATCAAATTTGAAATCCTTTATCAAATGACTAATTTAGCTTAATTAGCCAGGTGAGTAATGCAGAACCCTTGGGCATCTTGTATTTTTTAAATTTCATATTGCATATAAAGAATGATAATTTGTTTTAGAACTTAATACTATTAATGCTACAAACAAAGAATGTTGGTTGCACTAAACATCTATATTTGATTTAGTGTCTGTGAAAAATCAAGTCCTAAATAGAACCTCCATGTGAATTCATGTTGCTAAAAAATACTTGTGTTCAGATAAATTTCTAAAAGAAATCTCTTTGTTGTATCAGGCAACTATTGTAAAGTGATGAAAAACCTTATGAAATTGATATCCTATTTACCTGACAGGTGTGCAGTAATATTGATATCCTATTTACCTGCTAAATGTGCAGTTACGTTAATGATGTCCTGTTTACCTAACAGATGTGCAGTAATATTGATGTCCTATTTTCTTGGCAATTGTGCAGTAATGTTAATGATATCCTATTTACCTGACAGGTGTGCTGTATGTAAGCAGTCCTGTAACCCACACCTGCTGGTCAGGTGTGACCTATGTAAGAAGTACTACCACCTGGGCTGTCTAGAACCACCACTCACTCGTATGCCAAAGAAGACCAAGCTGATGGGCTGGTAAGTTGGAGGTAGCAGAGCATCAGCTATGGTATTTACAAAGTCTTTGCCCCCAAAACTCCCATCTTCCTGCATCTAGAATACAAAGACAAAGCAAATGTGAACTTGTTAAAAACATTCAGGACTTTTCAGAATCTGATATGTTGCTGGCTATATTCTTCCATATCCAGGCACTTAGACAATTAACATCACTAACAGTCTGATTCCAATTCTGGTCACCAAACAAACTATTAACATTGCAGTCTGTCCGCCTCCATATCTGGTCACTAAACAAACTGTAAACATTAGTGGCCTTCTGCCTCCATATCTGGTCACAAAACAGGTTATTAACATTACTGTTTGTCTGCCTCCATATATGGTCACTAAACAGGTTACTAACATTACTGTTTGTCTGCCTCGAAATCTGGTCACTAAACAAACTATAAACATTACTGGCCCTCTGCCTCCATATCTGGTCACTAAACAGGTTATTAACATTACTGTTTGTCTGCCTCAAAATCTGGTCACTAAACAGGTTATTAACATTACTGTTTGTCTGCCTCCATATCTGGTCACTAAACAGGTTATTAACATTGCCGTCTGTCCGCCTCCATATCTGGTCACTGAACAAGGTTTTGTTAACATTACTGGCCCTCTGCCGCCATATCTGGTCACTAAAAAAACTACAATTAAACCCTGTTGTAATGCCACCTGTTAAACCGTCAGACCCCCATACTGCCATCAATTTGATATTAACAGATATCCCTCAGCTTTAATACACCTGTTGTGCTGCCAAACCAACAACTGACACCTGCAATAGCATTCCCAAAACAAATGATTCTGTTAACATTTATTTTTATCTTGTTAAATACTGCCAAATAGAGTCAAGTACAGGTAATTGTTATTTGTAAATTGTATTGTTACAAGTGAATGCCTTGAGTGGACAAATCAGGTAGTCATTGGTATGATTGACATGTGGGCCTGTGCACATGAAATTGCGGAGCTATGACTAGACTCCCTCTGACAACAACTAGTCATCTACAGCCACTAGATGCTGTGATTATCCAAAGTTTTAAGAAGAATTACAACATCGACATAAACATAGCCCTACCCCCTACTATTTCCGGTTTTTAGATTTTTTAACACGGAACACTCTACAACAGAGTCAGATATTCAAAAATGTTTATCTTTACAGAATATAATGGAGACCATAGACAAACTAATGAAAGACAATCATTTTCAATGATTTCTTTTGTAAGATCTAACATTATCTCATTTGAAGTATTGGGGAATGTGAGTAAATGATCCAGTTCACGCACATTGTACACATGTATTTGATTTGTGACACTTCAATAAAAAACATTTTTTCGTTTGTTAATTTGTCATAATAGATCATAGTCTAAAAGGAAAGTATTCCAATGTTATTTTTAGAATACATGTACACTGTACTGCAAACTGGTGAATCAAGATGATCACAGATGGTGTGTGAACTCCCAAGGTCAAACTGTAAATCTGATATATTGCCAAATTCATTATACTGCTAAAATCACGAAGACCAGGCGTTATAATGAGGTTTGACTGTATTAACATTACTGTTCGTTTGCCTACATATCTTGTCACTGAACAAGCTATTCTTAACATCACTGGCCATCTGCATGCGTCCATATCTGGTTCCAAAACAAACTATTAACAATACTGGCCCTCTGGCTCCATATCTGGTCACTAACAAATTGTTAACATTTCTGTCCATCTGCCTCTATATCTGGTCCCTAAAATCTACACAATATAAAAATTGAATAAGTGTTTATTGTTGACAGGCAATGTTCAGAATGTGATAACTCCAGTAGTGGTCCCGAGGAGGGAAGTACAGAGGATATGAATGCTCCACGCCGCCTCAGAGAGAAAATCAAAGAACCATTCAAATGGTCACCTGACCTCAAATATGAATTTGAAAAGGTACAAAGAAAGTCTTGAGAAAAATTCTTATTATTTGAAGAGATTTTATCCTGTTTGTAAAGAGATTTTTTTTGTTCTATTGTAGATAAATGTTTTGTTATACTGCCAAGTTGTCCTCTTGAATAAGCCTGAAAGTCTTCATCCTAATAGACACCTCATGTCCAAAATTGCCCTTGCACATTCTTCAGCTAAGTAAAAGAGAGAGTAAAAAAATATCCTGTTCTGTGTGATTGTGTCATTGCATGAGAAGCATTGTTACTTCTGTATTTTGGTAACTGAACATATGATTGACATGCTGGAAATGAATAAGCACTAATAGTTATGGGGTGGCTTTACAGGATGAATATTGCAAATGCTGAATTTGACCTTCAAACGAAATTTGAAAATTCTGTTTAGTTACCATCAAAGTATAGCATGAAGGGAGGGGCCAAGAAAGGAAGGCAGAAGAAAAGAGTAAATAAGGAGGATATTCCAGCTGTGGACAGTCCATCCACTGGTAAAGTGGATACATCAGACACTCCAGGCACAAAGGTAAGGCACAGTGGACCTTTTAAAGATTACCTGGGTATGTAATGGAAAATGCCAGTGAAAAGAGACCTCACAACTTCTTCAGGTTGTGAAGTATTGTGGGAGAATCAATTTACTGTAAACATATGAAATAATCTGCTGCAATGAAACATAAAATTATAGTGCATGATACCTTTCTCACAAAATAGAACAAGGATGATTTTGTGCATTCATAATAATTGCTGTATAAACAACACATACAATTAGGGTGCAAAGCTTTTACCATGAAAAGTGCTATAATAAGGGTACAGTGATAATTGCATTCATAATATATAGATACATGAATGAGGTATTAGTATCCGCTGTTCCACGCAGTTGGTGAGAAAGAAAGATCAAGACAAGATCCATCTGTCTGTTCATCTGTACAGATTTAGAAGTTTTATATAAAGACAGTTCTAGTGATTTAGTAAGTAAATCAGAGTAAATGTTAGAACATGGATCAATTCCGTCAGTAATGATGCTGAAAAAAATGCAAAAAGTCTTCTGTGCAAGACGATGTGCCTTTCTTTTGTATAGTATGCTACATTGTAACAATGTTTATTATTCTGACTTCCTTATTCAATGTGTACTATTATCGAAACATAAGCATTAGATTGTAATCAATTAGGAATTATGGTTTCCAGGGTTTAATCTCTATCAGTAAATTTTCATTAATTATACCTCCACCCCATCACTAAGCCCATTTGTTGAAAGCTTAATGTATATAATATATACACCTACACAAATTTAGTGTACATTTACACCATAGTATCAAACCATCAAGTTTTACAAGGGTTTTGATTTTGGTGGTCATCAGTCAAGATTTCTGCTAAATGGTTACCCTTGAATGCTTTTGAAATAAGAACCTTGTGTACAAGATGCCTTATATACCTTGGAAAAGATTTGGGTTCATATTCACACTATTACATTCTACACCAGATTTGATTTTGGTTGTCATCAGTCAAAGTTAAAGGTCAGTTGTCAAAAAATTACCAGTGGGAGTAGGCAGTATGTCTTTGTGATCCCCTGTTTTCTTGGTGATTATTTCATTTCGCTTTAAATTCAGGCTGAACCAGCACCAGATACATCATTCAAGCTTAGTCAGCCCCCACCAGCCAAGAAACAGAGAGGAGGAAAAGAGGAACAGTTTCGTGAAGAGTTGATGTGTGCAGTGTGTAATGGTTTGGGAGATTACACCAACACAGTTAGGTAAGATATGACGTAATCAAGGACAGTTGATGTGTGCAGTGTAATGGTTTGGGAGATTACACCAACACAGTTAGGTAAGATATGACTTAATCAAGGACAGTTGATGTGTGTAGTGTGTAATGGTTTGGGAGATTACACCAACACAGTTAGGTAAGATATGACTTGATCAAGGACAGTTGATGTGTGTAGTGTGTAATGGTTTGGGAGATTACACCAACACAGTTAGGTAAGATATGACTTAATCAAGGACAGTTGATGTGTGTAGTGTGTAATGGTTTGGGAGATTACACCAACACAGTTAGGTAAGATATGACTTATTCAAGGATAGTTGATGTGTGTAGTGTGTAATGGTTTGGGAGATTACACCAACACAGTTAGGTAAGATATGACTTAATCAAGGACAGTTGATGTGTGTAGTGTGTAATGGTTTGGGAGATTACACCAACACAGTAAGGTGAGATATGACTTGATCAAGGACAGTTGATGTGTGTAGTGTGTAATGGTTTGGGAGATTACACCAACACAGTTAGGTAAGATATGACTTATTCAAGGATAGTTGATGTGTGTAGTGTGTAATGGTTTGGGAGATTACACCAACACAGTTAGGTAAGATATGACTTAATCAAGGACAGTTGATGTGTGTAGTGTGTAATGGTTTGGGAGATTACACCAACACAGTTAGGTAAGATATGACTTAATCAAGGACAGTTGATGTGTGTAGTGTGTAATGGTTTGGGAGATTACACCAACACAGTTAGGTAAGATATGACTTAATCAAGGACAGTTGATGTGTGTAGTGTGTAATGGTTTGGGAGATTACACCAACACAGTAAGGTGAGATATGACTTAATCAAGGACAGTTGATGTGTGTAGTGTGTAATGGTTTGGGAGATTACACCAACACAGTAAGGTGAGATATGACTTAATCAAGGACAGTTGATGTGTGTAGTGTGTAATGGTTTGGGAGATTACACCAACACAGTAAGGTGAGATATGACTTAATCAAGGACAGTTGATGTGTGCAATGTGTAATGGTTTGGGAGATTACACCAACACAGTTAGGTGAGATATGACTTAATCAAGGACAGTTGATGTGTGTAGTGTGTAATGGTTTGGGAGATTACACCAACACAGTTAGGTAAGATATGACTTAATCAAGGACAGTTGATGTGTGTAGTGTGTAATGGTTTGGGAGATTACACCAACACAGTTAGGTGAGATATGACTTAATCAAGGACAGTTGATGTTTGACATTGTGTGTAATGGTCTCTGTATAAAATCTGACATCCAACACAGTAAAAATGTGACATCCATCTCTGACAAAATGTAATCAATTAAATGTGACATCCAGTCTCTGTATTAAATGTGACATCCAATTTCTGTGTAAAGTGTGGCATTCAGTCTCTGTATAAAATGTGACATCCAGTCTCAGTATTAAATGTGACATCCAATCTCTCTGTAAAATGTGGCATTCAGTCTCTTTATTAAATGTGACATCCAATATCTGTGTATTAAATGTGACATTCAGTCTATAAAATGTGACATTCAGTTTCTGTATAAAATGTGACATCCAGTCTTTGTATAAAATGTGACATCACTTGATAATTCAGATTGATAGGCAGTTATATATGACAAAATGATATACTTTACATATGTAAAACCTAAAGTTTTAGATATGAACATAAAGCATTGAATGTACATGAATATTTGACAGCTGTGACGAGTGTAAGCTTAGTTACCATTTTGGATGCTTGGATCCACCGGCCAAAAAGTCACCCAAACAGCGTGGATACTCCTGGCACTGTGAAGCGTGTGACCCCACAGATCATTCGGTAATTCTTTTCATCTTATTAATAATGTTTTACAGAATCTGAAGGAAAAGTTTAGTTGAAGTTGAGATGTGTGGTTCAACACTCCCTTCCCATGGTGGTTTTTGTTTTTCAGGAAGCTGAGAAACAGAACAGTCTTGTGATGTCATCGTTTTGTCGTGAGGCATGATAATTTACTCTTATTATTCTGGACGGCAATGGGTCTCTTGTGTGTCTACAAGTAGACCCTGTCTTAAAATACCTTGATGATAAACCCAATAAACCGAAAAAATGATATTTCTTTCAAAACTATTGTACTCAAGTATTGTATGACACTTCATTCTCACCACAGTATATTATAGATAAGTGTGCTCCATCTTAAACATCTATGTGGGATAACTATCCCACATGTTGTCCCTGTACCATTTATGTATGAGTTAGTCTGTGTGGGGAATTCTTTTGAAAGCATATCACCTGTAATAGAGATCCTCATCTCAGACAGTCAAAAGTAATTAATCCTGAGATGTAAAGATTTAAATAACAACATTTAACTAACATGTCTTTTACGACATAAAAAGTTAAAAAAATTCCTGCATTTGTGTAACACTTAGCTGTAGCCTCGTCCTTATTGTAGAAAGTGCTCTCATCAGACTAATGTACCAAACTAAAGGGATGACTGAGCTATTGGGATACCGCATTGTCTGTCCGTCCATCATCTGTAGTATGTCATCTGTCGTCTGTAAACTTTTTCTACTAAATGCTACTAGTCATGAACAACTGAGGAGATTTTTTACCAAATATTTGGTCAGAAGCATCCTTAGAAATTACAAATTTGGTCCAAATCATGTTTAGGTGAAGATGAATAGATATTGTATAAACAATAGGTCTCACCCTACAGGGACAGGAGGAGCATGGCTCAATAGGGGAAATAGAGCATGTTCTTTAAAATCAGTGGGAATGATTAGATTTTGTCCAAATTTGGTCAGAAGCACCTTTAGGTGAATTAGAATCAAGTATGTATAAATCATGGATCTCTGTCCCCTAGGGCAGGAGGGAGGGGCTCAATAGGGGAAATGTGTTTGAAAACAGTCTAGATTCCAATCCCATAACCATATATGGCACTGCTGGGCACAATGAGATGAAGACAATCATGATGTAAAAATTGGCACTGGGGTCTGGCCTGAACCCGAGGGACTTTTTTCTTTGTTATATTTTTCAAACTTGATATACCCACCCTTTAATCATATCTGGCATCAAAAAATACAATTATGTTGTTAGAATTAGCCCTTGGGTCTGGCCTCATCCCCAGAGACTTAGTTTCTTTGTTATTATATCTTTGAAGCTCTATTTAGATCTCAACCCCATAAGCATATATAGCAATGTTGGGGCTCAAGAGATGAATACAATCATGATGTAAGAATTGGCTAGGTGATGTGGTTCCTGCGATTGTGAGTTCAAGGCCTGGACAGGACACAAGTATAAAACTGTCCTCCTTCGTTAATTGTTACAGTGTCAAAAATATAGATAAATTAACACAACGCATTATATACAGTAATGTTGATCTGAAGGCTTAGAATTATAAGTGTACCCAAGTTTGATGTGTGTTGTATGTACAATTCATATCCATTTATGTATTAACATTGCGATCCAGGTGTTAATATCATGCAAGTAGATAATTTGCCACTTTGAATTAACACAATGCATCAGATACAGTAATGTTGATCCGAAGGTTCCAGATTTGAATTACCTGTTGCAATTGTAAATGATCATTGAAGTAATAATGACAGTATGGACAAGTGAATTGAATGTATGTGTAGTTAAAATTTCATTAAGTTCCTAATTCTGCGTTTTTCTTTTTAAAATTGATGCTGATTATCAGTTCTAGTCCGGAAGTAGAAATTCTAATTCTATGGGGCCAGTTGACGAATCTGACAAAGTTTGTGAATAGTTATTACCTTGACCTATATTCAAGGTCACTGGAGTCAAATTTGTTAAAACATTTAAATGACTTCTTTTCGTGAATTTGGAGGCCGACAGGCAAAGTATTTGGCTGATATGGTTGTAGGATGCTGCTTGGCAAAGTTTGCGAAAAGATATGACCTTGACTTATGTTCAAGGTCACAGGGGTTGAATTTGCTGGTATATATATATTTACCCTTTGAGCACTGTAGACAGCTTCTTGTCTTATTTTGATATTTAACAATTCCTTATTTAGAGTGTGGATGAGATGTAGCAGTAGACTAATTTCCTCAGAGTGTGACATGCAATTGTTTTCAGTGTGATCACAGATACGCTCAGGGTCTACAGTGTAACTTATACTGAGATTGATGTAAAACGTTTTTAATATTTTAAAACCACCTTTGTGTTTGTTTTATGTTCTTTGTATGTGAGGTAAGTTATGTAACTATTTTGTATTTGTTTTATGTTCTTTGTATGTGAGGTAAGTTATGTAATATTTGTATCTTGGTAAACAGACAAATTGTCTGGAAAATTTGACAAACTTGTCCATACTGTCATTATTACTTCATTGATTATATATCTGTTCCAGTAATACACATCCAACAAACATTTGTTTGTTTGGATCCAGTACAAATATTGGACTATACAGGTGATAATACTTATTAGGTTCTATATATATATAGTTACTTGGCATCAAGAGATGAACACATCTGCTATGTAAGAATTTACTCTTGGGTTTGTCACAAATCAAGAGACGTTATTTCTGGGTCATATTTTCTATATAGTTGATATACCAACCTGAAAACCATATAAACTGGGAATCAACAGAGAAAGACAGTAATGATATCAGAATTTATCCATTTGTCTTGTCCCAGCAAAGGAGTTAAGGGACTGATCTTTAATTTGGAAATATTTGAAATATTCAACCTATCAGCATGTATAACATTGCTGGGCTTTAAGATCCAGGTGAGTGATACAGGCCCTATGGACCTCTTGTTCTTCCATTGTGGGGGTAGGGGTGGGGGAAATGTAGGTTACATAAATCCTCTATGGTGTCTGTCCATCTTTTGCCATTTGTGATATTGACTGTTTCAGGATGAAGAGGAAGAGGAAATGGATGATGACAGTGCCGTCAAAAATGATGAGAAATGATGGAAAATTAATGTGGTGCTTTATGTGATTCAAAAAGCCAATGACAATTTATCTTTTTAAACATTAAACAAATCCTTCTTAACTGAATGAGATTTAGGTGCTTTGAAATGTAAACATTTTGAAAGAGTTAAAATTCTCTTCACATCACCGCTTAATTTTGCTTATCTAAATCAGACTTATGTTACACGGGTGTGCATATTCTTATTTCAAGGTGAATGATATATGGGTGTGCATATTCTTATTTCAAGGTGAATGATAGACAGGTGGGCATGTTCTTATTTCAAGATGAATGATAGACAGGTGTGCATATTCTTATTTCAAGGTGAATGATATACGGGTGTGCATATTCTTATTTCAAGGTGAATGATACACAGGTGTTTGTTTTCTTATTTCAATATGAATGATACATAGGTGTGCGTATTGTTATTTCAAGGTGAATGATACACGGGTGTACAGATTCTTATTACAAGGTGAATGAGTTGTGCTGTCATTTGTTCAATATCTACATGTCAAAATTTCAGCTATCTCTGATCTTCAGAGTTAAATGAATAATTTAATCTTTAAAACCTATTCAGGAAAAAATTGCTTTAAAATGTTAAGAAGTTCTGACTTGAAATTCAAATTCTTTGAGAACCATAACAGTATTGTACCCTTAGACATATGCTAAACATCATTTTGAAGATACCTTTAACATGTCCACAAAGTGTTAAGGTTAGTTAATGTAGATTAATTTAGCTACTTGTATATTATCCCCTAAATCAATTATCCATGAATAAGTGATTTTTTAGAGGGAAAAAAAGTGCCCACAAAAAGATATGATTTTACAGTAAGATAGTTCAGAAACTACCACCCACTCTGTCCTACCTCTCAGTCCCATTTCTTTTTTGTTTTACCACTGATCATCCTGCCTCAAAATATATTAAAACAATTTTTGTTTGAGAATATATGAAACGTTGTGCAATTATCATTTTCTAAAATCCCAATATTACACAGGGCATTTATTTTATGAAACAATATGGTTCTGATGTACAGAAGAATTATATGCTTATCAGGTCAGTAAATTGTACAATGTTGTAGAATGTTTGATCCATGTAACAGATTATAGGTGTATATGCCAGTTGCTAAAAATTAATCTTGATCAAGTGTTCAGTTATTGATGTTGTATTCCTGAATTATACATGAAAAAGCAATTATGTCATGTTGAAACAAGACTGTTTGGTTTTCTTTTTATTATTATTATTGTACTTGCTCGTTACCTGCTGTATATATTACTTGTGCAATAAATATTAATAATTGTGAATTATTGAGATTGTTTACTTGCTGGATGTTCATACCCCTACCATCAGCAATAGTATATACATAGTAGGTAATAAAGCTCACCATCATCAGATGGTGGGCTAATCAGATCGCTCTGCGTCTGTGGTCCATCCGACTGTCCATAAACAATTTTTGATATCGCTATTTCTTGAGAAGTCCTGGATGGATCTTTCTCACATTGTATATGTAGGTTACACTTGGTCTCTAGTTGCGCAAATGTAATTTTGTTTCTGATCAAAAAGACAAAATGGCCGACACACAGCCATCTTGGATTTTAACTACGAAAGTTTGTAATTGCTATTTCTTGAGAAGTACTGGATAGATCTCTCTCAAATTTCATATGTAAGTTCCCTTGTCCTTAATTGTGCCTATTTAATTTTGGGTATGATCAGAAAAAACAAAATGGCTGAAAGTTGGCCATCTTGGTTATCACTATTTCTTGAGAACTGCTGTATAGATCTTTCTCAAATTTCATGTTTAGGGTTCTTTAGGTCCTAGTTTTGCCTATTTGAGTTTAGGACTGATCAGAAAAACAAAATGGTCGACTGGCAGCCATCTTGGATATTGCCTAGTAAAGATTGTTATTGCTATTTCTGAAAAAGTACGGAATGGATATCTTCCAAATTTCATATGTATATTCCCTTTGATCTCTCTTTGTGCTCAATTGCTTTTGGGACTGATCAGAAGAAACAAAATGGCTTCCAAGTAGCCATTTTGGATTTGGCAGGTAAAGATTATCATTTATTTCTGCAAAGGAATGTTCAAATGTCATATCATTAAGAGCAAAAAAAGAGAAGAGAAGAGATCCAACTTTCAAAGACTATATAAAGATCAAACAATGGTGGGCGCCAAGATTCTTCTGGGATCTCGTGTATTGTCTAATACATCTATTCATACAATTATCTTGTCTATTATTTCATCATCTGATGTTATATTTGTAAAGGATGTGATGGACATGGACAGTTCTATTAGACCTTTGACCTTAAGTAATTAAATACAAACTTTTGGGAATACTTTTCAGTCACTGTTTCATGCATAGATTTCAAGAGCGAACTTGACTCTGATTTGCTGCTTTGCATTCAACACATTTTTTCCCTCTATGCATATGTCATTACTACACAAACACATACAGTATATAATTAAGTATCTGTGCTGTTTTGCCATTGATAAATTACATGCTGGTGAAAATCAGGTTTGCCTTCAGATTTGATTCTGATGGTATAAAACATGAAAAGATGTGATGAAAATCCACATGAAAGTATCAGATACTGTTTGATATATTGGGGTTCTTGAACTTTTGCATACAAGAACAAAATGCCACTGATCAGAAATAAGTCGTTCATGATGTTAAATATTGTGCATTCTATGGCAAATAAGCTCCCAATAGACTTTTAAAAATCTTTCCTCTAACCACTACTATGAAGAAACCATGAGACCTAGTGTAATTGTGATGTCCTTTGATATTGTGTATATAGATGACTGATTCTGTTTCTGATGTACACTAATCAAATCAATGAAAACAATTAATATTCTGTTCCAATTAATGACCGACAAAAACATGTACCTATGTGTAAAGTAACAACTCTGTAATATTGATTATCTAACTGGGTTTAAATGAACTTTTACCCACATCTGAGGTCATGCACTAAGGTGAATTGAACAATGTTTTCCAACTGACATTTAATGTGGGTCAAAAGTTTATTAATAATGAAGTGTCAACTGTTCATGGGAGATAACTTAGATATATCCCAAGAATAATGGGGTTTCTCAACAAGTAGCCACAACAAAAACATGTTGTAATCAGTAGTTTATTGTCCATTAAAATATTCATTAGACAAAAAAATACATTTTTTGTAAATCATTGATAAAAAAGTTATTTACATAATACATGAATTGTATATACATTCTACAATGAGATATTGTTTACTACGACTTCTGTCAATGCATAGAATTAAAAGTATAGATACTATATCTTCTTTCTAGAATTCTGTCAGCAGTTGTTAATACAGAAAGAGAGAGTATTCATGGAACTGGTGGAATTTCTGTTTTTTCACCTTTAAGACCAACTCACTAGTATGACCACTTTGTAGTCAAGTTCACTTCACTCTCAAGAAAATACTTTATATGTCTTTGTGTTGTATACTCCACAGCGTACATTTGCCAGGTGTCAGACCTGTTAACTGTATTAATGTGTCAAAGTGGCTACCCGGATACAATCACTGTGTGTTAAATGCTATTAAATCTATAATCATGTACTGATTTAGTGACTATCTGTGAAAATAGTCTTACTGAATGAGCTAGTATTTGTAGAATTAGTGGATACCATTTTTCTTTATCTTTTTTTTGGTGAAATAATATTAATGTACATGTACCTTACAAGTGCTGCGATACATTTGTAAATTTTTCTAAATCTTGATATTGAACTTAATTGATAAAAGGGCCTGTTAATGTTAGATAAAAATCTTCAGAATAACAAAATTTCTTACAGTATATCTAAAAGTTTGTGCAAGTTATGACCACTTCTTTTCAAACTCACCAAACCAAATAGAATCTGTCACCCCTGTGGACACAAAAGACTACTCCAAAACCATTGATCTTGACTATACCAAGGGGTATACAAGGGGTACTAAAGGCTTTACTGCAGAGAAAATGTCAGAACAAAAAAAATTAAGATTTATAAATGTTTCTTTGATTACAGATTGTATGTACAATATACAGATCTCTGCACTACATAACCAAACATTACATTACCACAAATGACAAAATCAATGCACTGCCCTATTAAAGAGGAATGATTATTAGGTGACAAAACCTGTTTAATGGCTTGGAATTAAATTCCCTTATTTCAGTGAGACATGCTTTCTTTTCCTTTTTTGTAAAGAGATGGTCCCATAAAAGAGCAGGTTTACAATTTGGACATTTACGGTAATAAGAGTTTACATACTAGTGCAGTTATTATCCTACCTATACAATACAAACATCATATTAACAATATCCTACATCTTTTGTATTGAAAAAATCAATATACATAGAAAATTAAAAATATTCAAAGTCTAGATTATATACTTCACTTTGATAAAAATACATTTTAGATGTTACACTGTCAAAATAAATTCTAGGGTTATGGGTAAAGAAATATACAAATGATGTATTCTCTTGATTAATGCTCTTCATTGGCCTACCTTATTCACAAGCAATTGTCAAACATGTAATGACCACTTTTCAAATGCTTGCCAAATCCAACATGTTCTTGGTTATATTCAGAAAATCTTTCTTTTTCTTTTGATAGTGGCTATGAAAGTGTCTACTTAAATAAATTTCAAACTAAAATCAAACTTAACACTCAGATACATTGAAATATTAATTATCTAGTATAGCAATAACTACATGATGTTTATGGACTACATGGAAATTTCCTGATGGGGGAAAAACACATTAACCTCAGTATATATTTTTATAATCTTTTACAAAACATTTACTGTGTTTAATAATAAAAGAATAACTCCTGATTCAACTAATTCAGTTTGAGGTGATAAACAATTTTGAATTAGTGTGTTTTGTATAATGTTAATTGCACAATTAATCACAGAAATTAAAGATGTGACATAAAATTAAATTTTTCATCACTGATAGTTAATTGATGTATGACAGTATATCCTAGTTCAGAATGGTCTATACTTGTGACAAGTTGTAAAGTGATGAAAGAACAAGGTTCAGCTGTTTGTCTTTAGAAACTACAGGTCATCACAAGTCTTTGATCAAGATGGTTACCAAATACATTTTGTAGCGCAAAGTAAATTGACAAACTCATCAAGTCTAGTTTTTCTTGAAGCTAACTGTACAGATTAACACAGGGCTTGTCTGAAGTCTGTACTGATGGCAATATCTACATTTAGATTTCAACCTTCAACTTCTCTAAATGATTAAATACTTTTTATATCTTCAATGATTTCATCATCATAAACAACAGCTGCAGTAGCAAGGGATGAGGATTTGAGAAGTCAAGGAAACAGATGAAGAATGAGTGCATCATATTAATTCAGTACAAAAATAAATTTCTTTTGGTTTTATGGGTGAATATTTGAAAAATATTTACAGATACGTATGTATATATACACTATACACAATCATGGATAAAATGAAAAATATTTACCAAAGTTCAGTAGAAATCATTAACGTATGGAGCTGAATGACATGAAGGTTTTATAAGAGACTTAAGAACACTATAGACATGAAATACAATAAAAAAGTGAAGTTCTGTATCGAAGAAATTACAACAGTTGTAAAATTAATTTCTCATTCTTAACAATTACAAAAATATATCCATCAAAATAATGACTGAAAGGTTGAAATTTGAAATGTGATCTTTGGATGAAAAAATTAAAACTACAAACCTCAATTTTAGAAATGAATCAGGTTTATCAATCAACTTTCTTTGAAAAGAAAAAAAATCCAGTGATTTACTTCATGAAATTCTGTTAGAAAATAGAACTACCTGATTAAATTTGGTTGTATAGTCATGGATGAGTTGAAATATTCAAAAGTATAACTTTGAAGTAAGTTTTCCATCATTCACAGAACAGGTCAACATCTTGAGGATTTAAAACAAAAAGTACAAAATGTTTTTATATATTTTTGAAATTCAATGAATGACCTATTAAAATTTGTAAAGAGCACTTTATTTTAAATATGCACGACTAGTTCAGCCTTTGAAAATATCATAGTATTTTTGTGTAAAACTCTGGTTTAAACTTGAATTTGATATGCATTCCCTCGTGTAAAAATTTGAAGCTGTAATGTATCTAAATCGCCAAATACAAGATACTTATATACTTGTGTCAGTTACATCAGCATTAAATTGAAATCTTACAAAATGGTTTTCCAACATTTTGGAATGAAATGAGGCTGTGCAAAATATTTATTATAGAGAAAAGCCAACTTGTAAAGAAAAGATGCATGCTTAGTTTATGAAAAAAAGTTGAAAATTTTCTTTATTGAGGGTTGTTATTTTTGACTAGAAAAAGAAAAAAAATCTTAATTGATATGTATTTGTGTCTGTTTCTAACAAGAAATGATACGATATCCTGTCATAAATTTGGAATGTAATACTTCAACTGTACTTTCATTTTAAATACATGTATAAAAAAACTTGATTAAACAATATGAAAATTTGTACTTTGGAAAGAAACTAAATTTGCAAGATTTTGCAGTCAAAACTCATCAGAATCATTTTTATGTGCATTCTTGATAAAGAAATTAGAAATTTAATGTTAAAATATCAATGTATTTTGTTACGTGATTAACTTTATCTTTCATGAGATGTATAGATATTTTTACTGACAAATTCAAACAAACTTTATTGCCAACATCTATGAAATGCTTTAAATGGGAAAATCAGCTAGGAATATAAGATCCCGGGGAGGGTAGAGATGGGAAAATTTTGTTTTCTTAAATGATAAAAATATGAAGGAAAAAAATGACCTAGTACGATAGAAGTATTGTTTTCCAAAGTACAAGTATCTCAACATCTGAATAAATCTGAATATCTAATCATCTCGCTCTCCTCCAATGATGAAGATAATGGCGACGACAAAATCCACGATTCCAGCCAGAAGAGCCAGAACAAAGCTCCATGACAGTTTGACATAGGAGTTTGGCATGGTCCTTGCCTTTTGGACATCTTTCAGTGACCCAAATACAATACATGTTGTCACAATAAAGATACCTGTATGAAGAAGAAATGAAAATTATTTATTTTAAAACAATCATAAATATGTTGCCTAAAGACCAATCGTGTAACTTATCCGACAGATACTGTCAAATATCTTCTGGTCTTGGAAAAGGTAGAAAAGTTTTGGTTAGACTTAAAAGCAAAAAAGATTTATTAACAATTTGGCAGGATTTTCACCTATATTCATCCTCTTATCCTAAAGATCATTCATTTCCATGAATATGATGTCTACCATTATTTCATATCTAGACTCTAGACTGTACCACTTCAGATTATTTGTGTTGCCCGAAAGAGAACTGTTTCAAAAACAAGACACAATATTTTCTTAATACTATCAATAGTAACTGGTCACCAAATGCAACAGACAAAATTTCATCACTCTGTACCTCTTGCTTAATGAGAAGAAACCACTGAAAGATTTTAGCACAACTGACCTGTGACCTTGAACGTGGGTCAAAGTCATTTATATTAACAGCCTTGACCAAGAGCTTTCTATAAAAAATTTCAAGGCGCTGACTTTAAGGCTGAGGTAATGTGTTGGCCTACTTGCCTTATTGTTGTATTGGTAATTAATGATGTAATTTCTATATAATTCCCTTGTGCTAGATATGTAGAAAGCAAACATTAATTCCCGGAATGGGCCATTAAGTTCAGAAAAGTTTCAACATGGAATTTTCTCAGATAATCCAGTTTCCTCCAATATTAATACCCCTAGTGTTTAAATCCAACAACAGTGATTAGTACAAGTGGAAATAACTTGTTTCACAATTGTTGTAAAATAAAGGTTTAAATTTCAGTTTAATACACAGAATATAACACTTGTACATCGTTAATTACAGTCATAAGCTCTGTTATATTATTAACTATATGTCTGAAGATATAGAAAAGGGAAAGAAATCTTCCTGTGAATTACCTGAGAAATCAGGTATGAATGGTAATGCTGTTCGTAAGTTTTGCAGAAATGCCAGCAGACAAAGCCTAAGACTGCTCATTTGGCTGTGACTGTGTAACATATCTGTATGATTGGTGTTCTAGGATTATTTACATGGTACTTACCTGCCAGGAATAAAAGGAAGATGGAGATATATCGTAGTGTGGAATAACCTCTCAAATCTGGGACAAACATGTACATGGCTGCAAGTATGGCAACTGCAAGCATTCCAATAAAGGCCATCGACTGCATAGTCTGTATGGTCCGGAACCAATCTGTATTCAATAAAGTTGTGTGAAATACATAAAGTACCTTTAATTTCATTCTTACTGTTCAGAAAATATTATTCCATGGGACATGTGAAACAAAAGGCCTAAAGCACCTGTATTTGATTCATGTACTTTTTTTTTTGCAAAAATGCTCAAATTAAAACATGCAATGCATTAGAAAAAATACTTAAGTGTTACATATATTGCTTTAGATATAGACCTCATGAATCTGTAGACTTTCTTTAACAATAAAACAACAATGTATCTGGCCCACAAAACCTTGAAAACGGAGATCAAGATCAGTTATGTTGAAACATTTCAAATAACATTCAGACCTAAACCTGAAAAGCCAATGAACATGACCTTGGGTCTCCAGATTAAGATTCTTGGTTTTTAAGATAACTGACCCTGAGGAATACCAGGAGGTGAAGGTTATCTACGAGAACAAACTTAAATACCAGTCCAAGTTTTCAATTAAAAAGTAATATATGTGTGCACACAAATAACTGGTGACGGATTCTTGCATGATAAAACACTGTATTTATATATAATATTTGTGTATTGCTATAAAAATTGTCTAGATTTTCCTGATGACAGTTCACATTCCTTGTCATTTTGTACTTCTAACCTGTAACTCTCGTTTGGAGATCCTTTCTCTCACTCTCTTATAAGCATTATCACATATATAAGTACTGCTATAGTTTGCAAATGTTGAGTTAAACCTTATGTTTTTGCATTACAGCCCAGACCTGATTGTAAATATCACATCTCTTTCTATTTTTTCCCCCTAAATGATAATGAACAACTGACAAGTTAAAGCTAATGTCATGAGAGATAATGTCTCTGATTATTATAGAGTACTAAGTATTAAAAACTGATGTAATTATTCAGTTTGAAAGATAATAATCCATTCAATTTGTTAAATATCGTAAATTTCTAAAGCCGATTTCATTTCTAATTTGAAGTTTCAGAACCATGGCTATGATACAAAAGTGTAGAGAGTAAGTTATGTTTTATATGGAAGCAAAGAAAAAAGACAATTGGATTTGAAAACATACGGGAAACCTGGACGTCTTCCCAGACGAAACCTTGGCATTGAAAATCGGCTTCATCTCCTCCCAAATTCAGGTCGGCACACTTCTCCCAAAGACCAGCAAATTCCACGGTTCCATACTCGTCCGTGGCAGTCAGAGCCCAGTGAGAGCTTCCAAGTCCAATTACATGGAACAGGCAGCCCACCAATAAGATTATAAACCCAACACGGAAAATCCACGGAATTTCGTCTAAGGAATCAACACCCTTTAAACTCATGATGACAACTGCCTCTCGTTTGAATCTTCAGACACCTTGTTTACTTCCGACTTCACGGCACACAAAGCTGAATGTTGGTGTTTTCGTGTACAGGTAAGTCAAGAGATTAGGTTTCAGTTTTCCCTCTTTAGAGCAATGTATATTATAAATGTAAAATAAACACGTTCTTGTAGCCGAAATCAGGTAAAATTATCGAAAGTAGGTCATCATCACAAAAGCCAGGTGCGCCATTACCGTACATGGGCAGGTAAAATGCTATACATTTGAAAGAGTCTCGAAAACGCTTGTAAACAGTAACGTCTACGGGTGGAAATCCTAGTCAGCTGCAAGCTTTATTTGTCATGCTTCAGCGATTTCCTGCAGGTAAAAGATGAGTAATACAAGGATCGGAATTTGTGACGTCACACAGCAATAAGTCTGACATTTGAAACTGTTGAATGCATGTATTATGCACTCTGATAATGTAATTTCGTGGTAAATGATTGATAAATTATTTTTAACATTTGAAACGATCTACAATTTACGTTGCAACACGGTTACAGTATAGAATGGCATATAATGGAACTCTAGTATTTTCGTCGAACGTATAATAATCTAAATCATTCGTTTCGCCGTACTCAATTAGTAAACAATCAGGTGCAATGGTATTCTGTGTATTTATTGTTATTGTAATAACATATGTGCCAATAAAATGTGACAAAATTATATAATGAATTAAATCAAATTATATACATGATGAATATACATGTAGCAGGTACCGTGAATATATTCCTATTTCCAATGAAAGTGGCTGAAAAACAAACTGAAAATGGCAAACAGTTGACCCTGTGGCATTTCGTTAACGTCAAATGCCATTTACACATACAAATGATTTTATACATATACATGTAAGGCCAAGGACTTATATGTAAGTCCGTTTAATTTTAACATATTTTATTGCCAAGAAAACAAACAAACGGATTGGGAACAAGTATTACAACATTATGTAAGTCCTCTCCACAAATTATAACAAATGAACATAATGGCAACAAACTAGAAAGAGGAAACACGAAATATTTTTCCTACAAGTTTCGTTTTAAGATTGTTCTCCTTACTCTTAGAGGTAAAATTCTACCTTAATTATTTTGAAATGAATCAGTATCTATTGCTACGGTTTTTGATGAACACATGTACATTTCTAAATATTCCAACAGGTCTACGGGAAAGGTACGTTTTTTATGAAAAAAGCTATCGAGCGTAAAATCTTTATTGGCATCCAGTGTATTTAGGCTTTGAAATAGTATTCGCCTCTGCTGACCAAAGCTTGAACAATTGAAAAAGAAGTGATAAGTATTCTCACAGGGATGACCACAGTTACACTCCGGGCTTTCTATGAGATTTACCAGAAATAAATCATATTTCAAACAACTGCATTTCTGCCTTATTTTAGTATCAATTATATTTTAGTTTCCTATCTCCAAACTTAAAATATACTGGTGGCTGGTACTTATTTAAAGTTATTTAAAGTAGGTTATGTTCTAACTGAAATGTCCAGTTCATTCCAAGCACGAAGAGTTGAAGGTAGAAATGAGAAGTTTGTATTGTAAAAGTCAGAGTATGGCACATCTAAAGTTTCAATATTGCAAAAATATGCATTGATTTAGAAAAAGCTAATTCATGCTCAAAATTTACATAAATATGTTTATGCAATAATTTTCTTCATGTGGTAATTTTCATTATATATTAAGGAAATTATATGATGCATTAGGTATCTCATAAAAAGGATATCATATGAATTGTATTTGATACAGCCTGTAAGGATGCACATTCTATGTTCTATTTGTTGTTTCCTGGTCACATTATTTACCTGTAAATTTATATCGACGAATACGACTTATCACGTGACCGAAGTCGATATCTACATAACGTAGCGTAGAGATAAAGTTTGTATCTATTTTGATTTCATATCAAGCATTGTGTCGGGTACCTGCACTTTGATAACTTCATCTCCATTGTGTTTGTACAATGGCGACAACGTTGCGTGAACGCGGATACTAAATAATGGCGAATCTCAAATTATTGGTCTACCTGATGTGTCTACTACTAAATCGTCACGTCTGTTCGTCCGAGGTTTTGACATCGGACGACAACCAGGAGCTATTAGACGGTAGGTTGGGCGGACACATTGTTTGTGTATCGTTAAATGTCCATTGATATATATATATATACATATATATAAATTGTAACCAAGTTTTTCTCTCTGACATAGATACTGTTCCTTCACGGCATGAGCAAAGAGAACTTAAGGTTTTCATTTCTTTTTGCCCGCCCTCCGTCCCTCCCTCCAACCACACCCATCCACCCATCCATTCATCTATAATACGTATCCATTACTCAATGGTTGAATTGTAGTTAATATGTTTCCTTGTACATGTAGAAAGGAATACGTCTGTCGTTTATTTTCACTACGGAACTACATGTATTGTAGATGACATCCCGAGCCTACAATACGCGCAAGAGACGCATGTAGAATCGTCTTACATAGACAACATCGACAGAAAAAAGACGAGTAATGTAGACGATATCGTCGCAGGTGTCATAAAGGAGGCGGAGTTGGTAAAGTTTCGATTTATTTATTTATTTAGGAAGAAAGAATTTGATGTTCGGCAACTTAAATTGGTCTTTGTGTAATGTAACCGGAACTGTTACAAAACAAAAACATACACAGACACAGAATTTCGTCACCATCGGACATATCAAAATATCGACCAATCCGAGGCTTAAATGTTGCAGTCATATTGTTGAACCAGAAGTTGTTGTAGCGTTGTTCGAAAGTAGCTATGCCAATACATCTGAATATCGTTTCCAGCCGATATCAGAATATTATGTTTATCGGTATGTAAATTGATGATCCTGTATCCTAGTTACACTGAAGATCCCAGGAAGTTTTTATAAAATTATTTAACTCGTACATTATACGTTAAATGCATCAGTATATAAAAAGTTGCTACGGGTTAGCAACAAGAAGAAACGGTGTAAAACAAATAAGTCCCCACTTTGCTTGGATGACTTCAACATATAATTTCTTTTATAGAGGGAGTTTACGTAGGGAATGGGGGGGAGGGGTAATGGAATACTGCATTCTCGGGATCATATTACAAAGTATTAGCACCACAAGTAAGCTAGATATTAATATAACATTTCAAGTATAAACATTTTGTACAGTTAAACCAACGATAGTAATTTTGTAAACTCGATTAATCCACACAATGTACAACTTCTATAGTATTCGCAAAAATTGCAAGTAGATTGCTTCAACCTTTTGTTTTTGTTATTTATTTGTTTGTTTAATTTTTGTTTCTATTGTTTTTTGTATGATTGTTTGTTTGTTTTATTGCTGTATTTTCTGTATTTAATGTTGTTTGAGTTGTTATTGTTTACTTCCAAAACTCTGTCATATATAACGACCATACACCATAGCAAGAAAGTAATTATTACTAAATATCACTGGTGAGTGACTGTGAGGATGTAAGTAAGTAAATCTTTCTCAACAGGACAACCCGGTAGTTCTGCGGTCATGGCGAGTGAATCCGCCCCCGACTGACCGCAGGACAGTTTCCGTGGACAGCACGGTGGTCAACCTGTTGGTGGAAGTCCATAGTAAAGGGGTCAGCCCACGGTTCCAGGTTTATGACCCTACAGGTACGTAAGTTATTAATTACGTTCGCTCTTCATATAAATTGTACGATAAATAACCGTCACCATACTATTAATTTGTCCTTTGCATTAAAATTTCATGTTTATATATTTACAACTTTTTCAAGATGGGATATTGTTTATGCAGACATGAAATCATTAAAACACAACATTTTTAGGTGCAGTTGTGAGCCCGACGGACGACAGGAATGTTACCATGGAAGTTAACAGCAATAGTTTGAAAATAATGAAGATTAAAAACCCAATTCCAGGTAATTTTACAGTATACAGTAAAAAGACAAGCGACTTTAGAGTCTGTTTTAGGGGTTCAGATCCAAACGACAGGTTTCTGTACATTGTACTTATCAAAACAGGTAAAAAATACCAGCACGTGTGATAGTACTTTTTCCCATAATGAAATGCGACATGGCTTTATTTTTCTAAAATTTGAGTGATTCCAATGTTAAACTCAGCTATTATGGCCAGGTTATGTAGCAATAACTAACAATACTGAGAGGTTGTTATATTCTGGATACATGATATATCTCAACTCAACGAAAATCAAAATCTAGCAACATTCAATATCTAGTAGCTTGTTTCTTGACGAGTCTGCACAACTACTATTAGTTGCCATTTCATGATGATGTTGATGTTAAGCCCGTTTTCTCTGTTATCTAAACAGTCCACAGCAGCATGTGTAATGCTAATGTTACACCACACACGCTACCTTGTAAATTGATTTTTTAACATTCTTCTGTGAAAGTCATTGCTTCTTTTTTCATGACAAGCAAGTCACCAAATTGCCAAAATTCCACCACCGCGAATTTGAGGTCATACTTTGTTGAATGTTTCGTTCAAAATTGTAATATATGAAAGCTTGCCACTCATTGGTCCGTTTTCACTTGAAGGGGACTGGTTGGTAAAGTTTCTATCAAAAGAACAGGAGTACAACGTGACGATACGAGGCAGCTCTATGATCCAATTCAGGTGTCGGTTTATGAATGGTTGGGGGATACCTTTGTCTGGACGGCCGAACGTTGGTGAGTAGTTGTACGGATTACAAGCACGCATGCCTGGTATTTGAATTATAGCAAAATAAGTACAAAAAAAAAAAAAAATACACGGAGACTCATGAAAAATTGAAAGGAGAACGAGTGTTCCGCAAGAGTAAGCGTCGTCTGCTTCATTGACAATACTCGCCATTTAAATTTTGTCATTTCAAGTAATTCATCTGAAAAGTAACAAGATGAGTAACCACGGAATCGTGAGATCAAATACATCCAGCCTCACGCCAGGCAATAGAATGAAGTTTAAACCTTATCTCCAAAAACTCAGTGTTGTGATTATATTTGTCAGATATCGACATTTTTCACGAAATTCGTAATATTGGGTCAAATGTTTTAATATTGAACACACTTTGGGATATCAACACAATAGGTCGGGAAAATCAGGGATGTTTCTATATAGAAAGGGAAAATACATAAAAGGGGAAACTGAAATCATTAACTTTGTAACATATCTTAGTGTAAATCTATGATATTTCGGTATGATCTAGTGTAATGACAACACTGTGAATGTTTGTATCTTTAATGAAAAGTTTTTTCCTTTAAATGTTTCTATTACGAAACGGATGATATGACTTCACGTTGAATCCACCGGAAGCAATAAGCACAGGATTTTTTTGTGTTGGAAAAATTCTTTTTATATTTGCGTGATGATATATATCTTATTGAAAATTTCCTTCCGTGTCAACGATTTCATATTTCTTTTAGTAGTTTCATACATGCATACAAGTTAAGCCACAGCAAACCTACACTTGCGGTGTCATTATGAAAAACCTATAGTGTTTCTCTGGTGATGTGAGCAACATGTTTTGCATGTTTTCTAGGTTCCAACGTGACGCTTCGCATAGAACTCTTAGGTAGCGGAGACGTGCAAATATTAACGGAAGTGACGTTGATGACAATGGCAGGAAGAGAGATCTTAACGAGACCACTGGGAAAGGCAACGGGGCGTCGCCGGAGGACATATACAACTGATATACATATTCCAGGGGAGGTAACCCGTTTATGAAAGCTTTTACGTACATAACCATGTGCCGCAATGTCAGTTGCATTAATAACCTACTCAACGATATGTTGATTGATTTAAGGCTGGACGTTTGCTTTCCAAGTATCCACACTAAAACAACTGGACGTAATTATGTTCAGCGAAACACTTCAAGGAGTGCAGTACCCAGATGTCTGGATAAATCAGCCGGTTTTGCATATTGAAATTTATGCACCAAAAATTGAAATTTCTAAAATAGTTTTACTAAGTTCGGTTAACGACAACAGAGTTTGGAAATATTTATTAATGAATGTGTAGGGAGTTGTCTAAAGTACCTACTTTTAGAAGACAGCGATGCCTCTGTATACTGATCGCACTTTTTTTTGAAGGACTTCCGTGTTGGTATCCGGGGACTTGATACAAGGTCAAACGTTATTGAACGGACACTGATGAACCCCATACTTCCAGATGGAATCAAATTGTCTCTGAAGGCGCTAACACCGGGTAAGGATGGCATTTTTAACTATCGTGATTTAGGGCGTACTTAATATATGTCTTAGTAATGTGGGCCTACAACGATATCGTTTGTTACATTTTAGAATTCTAAGAATTCATTTTCATCTCCCACCTAATCGCAACTCTTTAGTATGATTATCTCCCTATTACTACCATTGTTGAGTAAACAAATAAATAAATTAACGATAATACGTTATCGCTCCTTGTACTTGCGACTGTCTCTAGCTGCAAGAGGAATAACTTGGTTAAATAGAATAGTATTCAAATTGCAGTGTTTTCCCGTCTAATCATGCTAATTTCGCGATGATCATCAGCTGATACGATTTTCATTTATTAAGTTTCTATTCACCTTACTTGTCACAGGTACCGTTCAGATGGGTGGATCGTACGTTCTCCAATACAGGGTCGGTAACGACGGGACAGGGGCAGGCAACTTTACTGTTACAGCACTCTCTGATACACCCGTAAGTATGAAACAGACATCTAAACTGTCACAACACTCTCTGACACACCCGTAAGTATGAAACAAGCAACTTAACTGTTACAGCACTCTCTGACACACCCGTAAGTATGAAACAGACAACGTTACTGTCACAGCACTCTCTAACACACCCGTTAGTATGAAACAGACAACGTTACTGTCACAGCACTCTCTGACACACCCGTTAGTATGAAACAGACAACGTTACTGTCACAGCACTCTCTGACACACCCGTAAGTATGAAACAGGCAACGTTACTGTCACAGCACTCTCTGACACACCCGTAAGTATGAAACAGGCAACGTTACTGTCACAGCACTCTCTGACACACCCGTTAGTATGAAACAGACAACGTTACTGTCACAGCACTCTCTGACACACCCGTAAGTATGAAACAGGCAACGTTACTGTCACAGCACTCTCTGACACACCCGTAAGTATGAAACAGGCAACGTTACTGTCACAGCACTCTCTGACACACCCGTTAGTATGAAACAGACAACGTTACTGTCACAGCACTCTCTGACACACCCGTTAGTATGAAACAGGCAACGTTACTGTCACAGCACTCTCTGACACACCCGTTAGTATGAAACAGACAACGTTACTGTCACAGCACTCTCTGACACACCCGTAAGTATGAAACAGGCAACGTTACTGTCACAGCACTCTCTACACCCGTACAGAAACAGCAACGTTACTGTCACAGCACTCTCTGACACACCCGTAAGTATGAAACAGGCAACGTTACTGTCACAGCACTCTCTGACACACCCGTTAGTATGAAACAGACAACGTTACTGTCACAGCACTCTCTGACACACCCGTCAGACAACGTTACTGTCACAGCACTCTCTGACACACCCGTTAGTATGAAACAGACAACGTTACTGTCACAGCACTCTCTGACACACCCGTTAGTATGAAACAGACAACGTTACTGTCACAGCACTCTCTGACACACCCGTTAACTTACATTGAGTTAACGTTAGTGTCACAGCTCTCTCTGACACACCCGTTAGTATGAAACAGACAACGTTACTGTCACAGCACTCTCTGACACACCCGTAAGTATGAAACAGACAACGTTACTGTCACAGCACTCTCTGACACACCCGTTAGTATGAAACAGACAACGTTACTGTCACAGCACTCTCTGACACACCCGTTAGTATGAAACAGGCAACGTTACTGTCACAGCACTCTCTGACACACCCGTAAGTATGAAACAGATAGGTGAAACAGACAACGTTACTGTCACAGCACTCTCTGAAACAGACAACGTTACTGTCACAGCACTCTCTGACACACCCGTTAGTATGAAACAGACAACGTTACTGTCACAGCACTCTCTGACACACCCGTTAGTATGAAACAGACAACGTTACTGTCACAGCACTCTCTGACACACCCGTAAGTATGAAACAGACAACGTTACTGTCACAGCACTCTCTGACACACCCGTAAGTATGAAACAGACAACGTTACTGTCACAGCACTCTCTGACACACCCGTAAGTATGAAACAGGCAACGTTACTGTCACAGCACTCTCTGACACACCCGTAAGTATGAAAAGGCAACGTTACTGTCACAGCACTCTCTGACACACCCGTTAGTATGAAACACACACCCGTCACAGCGTTACTGTCACAGCACTCTCTGACACACCCGTAAGTATGAAACAGGCAACGTTACTGTCACAGCACTCTCTGACACACCCGTTAGTATGAAACAGGCAACGTTACTGTCACAGCACTCTCTGACACACCCGTTAGTATGAAACAGACAACGTTACTGTCACAGCACTCTCTAACACACCCGTTAGTATGAAACAGCCAACGTTACTGTCACAGCACTCTCTGACACACCCGTAGTATGAAACAGACAACGTTACTGTCACAGCACTCTCTGACACACCCGTTAGTATGAAACAGACAACGTTACTGTCACAGCACTCTCTGACACACCCGTTAGTATGAAACAGACAACGTTACTGTCACAGCACTCTCTGACACACCCGGTAGTATGAAACAGACAACGTTACTGTCACAGCACTCTCTGACACACCCGTTAGTATGAAACAGACAACGTTACTGTCACAGCACTCTCTGACACACCCGTTAGTATGAAACAGACAACGTTACTGTCACAGCACTCTCTGACACACCCGTTAGTATGAAACAGACAACGTTACTGTCACAGCACTCTCTAACACACCCGTTAGTATGAAACAGGCAACGTTACTGTCACAGCACTCTCTGACACACCCGTAAGTATGAAACAGACAACGTTACTGTCACAGCACTCTCTGACACACCCGTAAGTATGAAACAGACAACGTTACTGTCACAGCACTCTCTGACACACCCGTTAGTATGAAACAGGCAACGTTACTGTCACAGCACTCTCTGACACACCCGTTAGTATGAAACAGGCAACGTTACTGTCACAGCACTCTCTGACACACCCGTTAGTATGAAACAGACAACGTTACTGTCACAGCACTCTCTGACACACCCGTTAGTATTAAACATACAACGTTACTGTCACAGCACTCTCTGACACACCCGTTAGTATGAAACAACGTTACTGTCACAGCACTCTCTGTTACAACGTTACTGTCACAGCACTCTCTGACACACCCGTAAGTATGAAACAGGCAACGTTACTGTCACAGCACTCTCTGACACACCCGTTAGTATGAAACAGGCAACGTTACTGTCACAGCACTCTCTGACACACCCGTTAGTATGAAAAGGCAACGTTACTGTCACAGCACTCTCTGACACACCCGTGTATGATACAGGCAACGTTACAGCACTCTCTGTCACAGCACTCTCTGACACACCCGTTAGTATGAAACAGGCAACGTTACTGTCACAGCACTCTCTGACACACCCGTTAGTATGAAACAGACAACGTTACTGTCACAGCACTCTCTGACACACCCGTTAGTATGAAACAGACAACGTTACTGTCACAGCACTCTCTGACACACCCGTTAGTATGAAACAGACAACGTTACTGTCACAGCACTCTCTGACACACCCGTAAGTATGAAACAGACAACGTTACTGTCACAGCACTCTCTGACACACCCGTTAGTATGAAACAGACAACGTTACTGTCACAGCACTCTCTGACACACCCGTTAGTATGAAACAGACAACGTTACTGTCACAGCACTCTCTGACACACCCGTTAGTATGAAACAGACAACGTTACTGTCACAGCACTCTCTGACACACCCGTTAGTATGAAACAGGCAACGTTACTGTCACAGCACTCTCTGACACACCCGTCTCTGACACACCCGTATGAAACAGACAACGTTACTGTCACAGCACTCTCTGACACACCCGTTAGTATGAAACAGACAACGTTACTGTCACAGCACTCTCTGACACACCCGTTAGTATGAAACAGACAACGTTACTGTCACAGCACTCTCTGACACACCCGTTAGTATGAAACAGACAACGTTACTGTCACAGCACTCTCTGACACACCCGTTAGTATGAAACAGACAACGTTACTGTCACAGCACTCTCTGACACACCCGTTAGTATGAAACAGACAACGTTACTGTCACAGCACTCTCTGACACACCCGTTAGTATGAAACAGACAACGTTACTGTCACAGCACTGACTGTCACAGCACTCTCTGACACACCCGTTAGTATGAAACAGACAACGTTACTGTCACAGCACTCTCTGACACACCCGTTAGTATGAAACAGACAACGTTACTGTCACAGCACTCTCTGACACACCCGTTAGTATGAAACAGACAACGTTACTGTCACAGCACTCTCTGACACACCCGTTAGTATGAAACAGACAACGTTACTGTCACAGCACTCTCTGACACACCCGTTAGTATGAAACAGACAACGTTACTGTCACAGCACTCTCTGACACACCCGTTAGTATGAAACAGACAACGTTACTGTCACAGCACTCTCTGACACACCCGTTAGTATGAAACAGACAACGTTACTGTCACAGCACTCTCTGACACACCCGTTAGTATGAAACAGACAACGTTACTGTCACAGCACTCTCTGACACACCCGTTAGTATGAAACAGACAACGTTACTGTCACAGCACTCTCTGACACACCCGTTAGTATGAAACAGACAACGTTACTGTCACAGCACTCTCTGACACACCCGTTAGTATGAAACAGACAACGTTACTGTCACAGCACTCTCTGACACACCCGTTAGTATGAAACAGACAACGTTACTGTCACAGCACTCTCTGACACACCCGTTAGTATGAAACAGACAACGTTACTGTCACAGCACTCTCTGACACACCCGTTAGTATGAAACAGACAACGTTACTGTCACAGCACTCTCTGACACACCCGTTAGTATGAAACAGACAACGTTACTGTCACAGCACTCTCTGACACACCCGTTAGTATGAAACAGACAACGTTACTGTCACAGCACTCTCTGACACACCCGTTAGTATGAAACAGACAACGTTACTGTCACAGCACTCTCTGACACACCCGTTAGTATGAAACAGACAACGTTACTGTCACAGCACTCTCTGACACACCCGTTAGTATGAAACAGACAACGTTACTGTCACAGCACTCTCTGACACACCCGTTAGTATGAAACAGACAACGTTACTGTCACAGCACTCTCTGACACACCCGTTAGTATGAAACAGACAACGTTACTGTCACAGCACTCTCTGACACACCCGTTAGTATGAAACAGACAACGTTACTGTCACAGCACTCTCTGACACACCCGTTAGTATGAAACAGACAACGTTACTGTCACAGCACTCTCTGACACACCCGTTAGTATGAAACAGACAACGTTACTGTCACAGCACTCTCTGACACACCCGTAAGTATGAAACAGACAACGTTACTGTCACAGCACTCTCTGACACACCCGTTAGTATGAAACAGACAACGTTACTGTCACAGCACTCTCTGACACACCCGTAAGTATGAAACAGACAACGTTACTGTCACAGCACTCTCTGACACACCCGTAAGTATGAAACAGACAACGTTACTGTCACAGCACTCTCTGACACACCCGTTAGTATGAAACAGACAACGTTACTGTCACAGCACTCTCTGACACACCCGTTAGTATGAAACAGACAACGTTACTGTCACAGCACTCTCTGACACACCCGTTAGTATGAAACAGACAACGTTACTGTCACAGCACTCTCTGACACACCCGTTAGTATGAAACAGACAACGTTACTGTCACAGCACTCTCTGACACACCCGTTAGTATGAAACAGACAACGTTACTGTCACAGCACTCTCTGACACACCCGTTAGTATGAAACAGACAACGTTACTGTCACAGCACTCTCTGACACACCCGTTAGTATGAAACAGACTCTCACAGCACTCTCTGACACACCCGTTAGTATGAAACAGACAACGTTACTGTCACAGCACTCTCTGACACACCCGTTAGTATGAAACAGACAACGTTACTGTCACAGCACTCTCTGACACACCCGTTAGTATGAAACAGACACACACCCGTTACTGTCACAGCACTCTCTGACACACCCGTCTAGTATGAAACAGACAACGTTACTGTCACAGCACTCTCTGACACACCCGTTAGTATGAAACAGACAACGTTACTGTCACAGCACTCTCTGACACACCCGTTAGTATGAAACAGACAACGTTACTGTCACAGCACTCTCTGACACACCCGTTAGTATGAAACAGACAACGTTACTGTCACAGCACTCTCTGACACACCCGTTAGTATGAAACAGACAACGTTACTGTCACAGCACTCTCTGACACACCCGTTAGTATGAAACAGACAACGTTACTGTCACAGCACTCTCTGACACACCCGTTAGTATGAAACAGACAACGTTACTGTCACAGCACTCTCTGACACACCCGTTAGTATGAAACAGACAACGTTACTGTCACAGCACTCTCTGACACACCCGTTAGTATGAAACAGACAACGTTACTGTCACAGCACTCTCTGACACACCCGTTAGTATGAAACAGACAACGTTACTGTCACAGCACTCTCTGACACACCCGTTAGTATGAAACAGGCAACGTTACTGTCACAGCACTCTCTGACACACCCGTTAGTATAAAAAGCGTTTACTTTCCGAAATACTCAAGCATCTAACAAATTAATGTAATTTTTGCATTCAGTTGTAATTTTACGGCATCGTAAACTTTCTTGTCCAATTTTCTGAAAATGAAGTGTATGTCGCGGAAATGGTTGGTTTAATTCACATCTTTATCATTAATTCCCAGGTGGAAAAAATGTATTACTAAATGGTTTACTGAGAATTTTTTTCAGAGTTCAACAGCGTTAAGGCGATAAGATTATATGAAAACGAATATCTAGATATACAAACGGAAGTATAACAATGTTTCAAGATTTTTATTAAGAAAGGATTGCAAAACTTTAAATAAAATATAAATGTTGAAAGGATATATAGCAGTAATGTTTTGTGTTATGGCGAGAATTTCCAGTACAAGTTGTCTCCCCTTACAGTACATAACTTTTACCGTGACTCCTGACCACGTATATGTAGGAGCTGGAGAACATGCTGTTGGGAACGTCACTGTTCACGTGTCTGAATACGCTGTTCCGCACACCAAAAGGTAAATAATTTGTATTAAAATATGCTGTTCATATTCTTTTGGGATCATTAGCTTTATTGAAAAAATTGCTTAAAATATTGAATTTTGAGGCTAGAGCACATCCCCTATGTAGATTGACATTTTTTCAGTCGATTTCAGTTTTATTAAGTCGCCTCCTAGGTTGCGTTATTAAGAACCTTAGCATCACAGACAAGTCTTAAGAGGACGGAACAGCTGTATGTTTATTTGGTACTTTTGTATCTGATCGGAAGTTCTAAAGTATTGAAATGTGTTATTCATATGTGTGTCTTGCGTACAATCATACAACTCAAAACTATTCCGCTCAAATGTTATAATGTCAGTTCCCTACTCTTATTTCAGGTGATTGTTTTTCCATTAAAATTATTTTCCGATTAAACATTCAAAATGGACCCAGAAGTAAGAAAACTGCCCACATAGATCCTTTTACGTTTGTTTGTTTTTTGTCTGTTTTTTTAACCAATTACCATATTTGTAATATTAGATTTGATCACAACACCAAATGTCGCTAATTTTAGTGTACACTTTTATTTTTCACTTAAAGTGAGGTCGTCGTTCGTGCGACAAATACTTCCGGGAACTTTCAATTCTCCAGCCGTGAAGTTTCTATTGTGGAACCTCCCAGTGGTGATGACACGCATGCGCCTGCTTTCTCCACTACTAACATTATTGATAATTGTGATTCCGCCCAGGTATAAGAACAACCGTAGCTTTCAACTGATCGAGAGAAAAGCAAAAGCACAAAAATGAAAAAAAAAAATGAAATCGATAAATCATTATCAAAGTTATGTCGGAAATACCAAAGAAGATGTATGACCTCGAATCCCGTTAACTTTTACAGTCGAGCACGTGGGAAGTTATATTTCAAGTCCAAGATGACGAGTCAGGGATCCATAAGGTGGACATAGATGACCACACCTTCTCTACAATCACCATGGAAACATTTGATGATGGCCAAGCCAATATGCCAGTTAAAGGGCAGCTTAGGTACTGTTTACATCTGGCTAAAACGTAAGCTAGAATTGGTTGATACACATGTATATGTTCTTCATTTGCATTTCTTTACTGTCTTCTCGTTCTGGAACGTGACATACACTATATGCGTCATTAATGGAGTAGAAGATGCTTACCCCTCTGGAACATCTGGCTCCATATTTATGAAATCATTTTCGTGCCAAAGCACGAAATCTACTCAACTTTCTTCAAACTCGTTTCAGTCTTGAAATAGCAGTATAAAAGTAAACTTTAAACATTGAAAATTATATCTCAGGTTGATTTTTTCCCCGGAATCTTTCAAATGGTTTAATAGGTATTGATTCATATTATCACCAGAAGTATTTGAGAATGAGTACAGTTTTGTAAATACGTGTCCTGGTCTTTTCTCCTTGTACTTTTTACATGAGTATCCGTGAAAATTTCTCTTTTCCTTCATATTTTGCCTTAGTGTTTTGTTTAGTTAGTGTTTGAATTATGTTTCTGTTGACATGTTGGATTTTTATTTCTTGTTTTTAAAGAAATATTTTTGTCTAATAGTTGTTGAATTACAATAATTCAGAATTGTCATTGTTTGTTGTTGCTTGCCACTTAATGCTTGAAAAGAATTATGAAGTTTGTTGATACTGTTTTTACATTCTACAGCATACAGTGTTCTCGACAGCAGGTAACGGTGATTGTCGATGACGTAGAAGGGAACGAAGGTCGATTTCTTGTCACACATACTCGCCACCAGGTAAAAATTCTCTTCCTAATTTATCGTCATCGTGGCCTTGCTGCTCTTGTGTCCGCTTGCCATACTGTTGCTCACCCATGTCATGTCCTTTAAAAAAAATCGCTCGATCTTCAGTGCATGTTCCAGTCAGTTTAAAAATGTCTCGCATGAACATACCTTCAGTATAGTGTTATTCCCGCAGAAAATTATACATGAACTATTTTCTGAAACAAAAATCTTTCTATGAAACTGGTTTCCAAACAAATTATAAACAATTAAATCATCAATCAATTAACCTAGAGTTGATACCTTGCTAAATCTGTATTAAACGGTGTTGTTCTCTCGTGTGTCTTTTGTGCAATCTTCGCGTTAGTAGGCGGTTGACACTGCTGGTGGACTTTTAGTCCCCGAGATTTGCCCGAAACAGCATGTCATGTTTTGATTTATTCGTTGTTCTAAAAATATCTGACATATAAAAATTACGGATTGTGTTGAATTATGGAGCTAGTGAGCCTCCTCGTATCCCCGTTTTTTTTCGGTTACTTTGGATTGTCCTCAGTCACCTCCTAGGCTTCAAAATTTAGGCCCTTAGCACGAGTCCTAGAAGGACGAAAAAGCTGTATGATGTAGTTTAATTGTTTTTCTCGACTGTATCTAACTTTAAATTTGTTTTGAAAGGTGCTATTCACTTGTTTGACTTTTGAGCAATCTTTGATGTCTGGTGTTGACATGTTGAAATGTTTTGCAGTTTTACCATATTTTGACCATATTTAGTGTTGTTTGCATTGCCCCAAGGTTTGACGTCATCAGATAACGTAAACAATTTTCTTTCTCTTTCTCATAGGACACTACATCAATGCTTACCTCTGCCAAAGGGAACTCGTCCTTGGATGCCCGCCTAGCGGCTATTTTCACAGGATGTTTAACTGGATGTCTCCTGCTGGTTATAGTAGTAACAGTATCAATACAGTGTAAAATGAGGTTCGCACATAGACGAAAAGTCTTGATATCGAATTCCTTAAACAAGAACTTTTCAACGTCACGGAGGATAAAGATGGAGACATTCTGATCCTAAGGGAGCCCTTGAAAGGAATTTGTAATGACATAAGAAAACCTTTACATTTATTTTACAAACAATTTGCTAAATTGTATGACATATTTTTGTTGATGATAATACTTATGTGACAACGGAAAACTTATCACCATTAAATGGAACCTTTGACTTTTAATGGTCAGGCATTGGAAATGATCGACGTTGTTAATGTCACTACCAAACCACAAACTTTCGGAACACCTTCCATGACGAGGTTTTCCGATTGCATTGTTAGCTTCCGAGAATTTCTGGAGACGTGCGCAATTGAGATTTAATCACCATCACTGCATTCCGGAATCTGAAGTGACCGTATCCATTTCAGAGTTTATAATTTGACTTCTCTGGATCTGTGACTTGAAAAACTGGCGTGATAGCTATTGATGATAAAGTGTGTGTGTGTGTGTGTGTGTGTGCGTGTGCGTGGTTTTTTTCCCCCATTACTCATACATAATATATGATACACTGAAACCTGTTTTTATCGACAGGTGCTATACATGGGATCGGTAATTGGATCAATGGTACGACATTGTGTCAGCAACGTTAATTCACTGTTATAAAGACCACGAATTAAATTATGCTTTCGAAATTAGGTGTCGGCATAACCAGGTTTCAGCGTACAACTTTGTTGAAAGAAAAATATCATTTAATATGTTTCAAAATGATCGAGTTTTATATTTATGCATATGTGATATTTATTTCAGTTAGACAAAAGAATGATTTTTAAAAAATCTATTTATATTCCGATAGAAATAAATTATTGACTGTTGTTCATTTTCGTTTTTATTAAGTACAAGTACATGGAACAGACGAACAAAGGTTATGCTCAGTATGTCCATCGGACGAATATTCGGGCTCTTCCTTTCGATAACCTACTTTAGCATGTCATGTTTAAAGAGTGAAAGAGAACTACTGTTTTTTTCTTCCCATTCTCATTTCCATGAGTGTGAACTGAAGTAATCACTGAACCGATATCGTGTAATGAACCAAATGTTTACCTGTAAACTTTTATTAGGGCATAAGAAACACTATACCCCTGGCATTATTGATCCGAGGGCTTAAAAATCTTAAAACAGATCAAAGTCTGCCGTTATTAAAAACGTGTACATATACACTAAGTGAGAAACCAACACGCCAGCAGATTTAATACATATATGGTTAACGGATTGATAGTTTCACATCCACGTTTTGTCAAAGGTGTATTTTATGGAATTTTTTATGCAACCAAACCTTCACGCATGTCTTCTTCTGTGTCAATAGTAAACCGATAATTGGCAATACAGAGTGAGTTTATGACCTAATTCACAAACTTAATGATGCATAAATGATAGGTATCAGGGAGAAAAAAACGGTATTGATATTGAATCACAGGGACAGGGATATGGAGGACAGCAGAGTGTGGAATGTTGTAAAATGCGTTTCGTATGATTACAAATAGTCATAACAATTTTGCATACGACTTGAAATGCTATGATATCCATAAAATCGACAAATTTGAAACGCGACAGTCGTGACAGCAGCACCAATGAGCTGTATTTCACAGGTGAGCGAAACAGAAAGACATTAGGCAATGAGAAGATCACATTTGAGTGAGCACCTCTTGTGAAGCACATTTATAGTTATACGCAATATTGACTTACCGATTTGCCCTGAAAAAGATGATGCTTTCAAGGTACGTTTTATCTCCTTTAATTTTTCCTGTATTTGTAGATACAAAGCTCGCTCATTGATAAGCTATTTTGTTTGCTTCGTAAACAATCAGGGTCATTTTGAGGCGGGTCTCACTGAAAAACATGCAAGAGACAATCGAGTATAATTGGAGCAAAGTGCCTTGTCCATTAAGACAACTAGGATAGTGCAAAATGGTCCCTGATCTCAGAGGTCTGTATTTCTCACATTGTTTTGCTAAATTGATGTAGATAAACAATGTCAATAGAATACTTCATAACACGTTTTGACAGTTACAGTATCTATAGGGGGTTTTTTCTAATTAAAAGTTGTACAAAAATCACACAAATGAATATTACCTTTTAAAATAAAATAAAAAAAAACGAATAAAATACCAATATGCCAACAGAACCTTAATTCAAATTAAATTCAATAAAACTAGGGCAAAACAAAGATTTACACGGAGACATCTGGAAGAAGACTAGGAGAATTAGACCAAGTGTTCTGGAAGAGTAAGCGTCTTCTGCTTCATCGACGACACCCGCCATGTAATTTTTGTCAATTTAAGTAAGTAATGTCATGTGCCCAAATGAGAATAATGTAAGCAACAACGGAAAGAACAGGTGTAATAACGAACATCAAATACGTCTAGCTTCATATCACATTAGGAATATTTGCTTAATAGATCATTACGAAGATCGTAAAAGTTCCGCATCATTTTCATCAACCTGCATCTCTCGGAACCGTGTTGTGGCTTTGTCTGTCAGTTGCCGAACTTTTGCACGAAAATTGTAATACTGAGAGCAAGCCTTTCAATATCGAATCAACTGCGACATGTAAACACCATATATTGCAAGAATCTTGTTCTCCAGCTTGGTAAAAATAGTCTCTGTTGATTTCTTTGTTGGAAAAATCAAGATAAGCGGCCAATGTAGAAGAATATATCGTGTCCTTGATCCCCAATTCATATGGGAATGTACCATAGAAACGACGATATTTTGTTTGTTATTTAAAGTTGTCATCAATCTGAAAGTGAAACTGAAGAATTTCTCGAGGACTTTATGACCATGTTTGATAAGTACCTCGATAAATCCAGCCTCGTATGAAAACAAAAACAAGTCGGTTTAAAGAGGAGCACTTTTTGTTCCCATAGGCATTCCAATAATCTGTTGGAAGATCCTGAAAACTCGAGGAAGAGATTGTCAGCCAGAAATCCGTATTTTTTTTAGCAATTTCTTTTTCTTTATTGATTTGGACATGAAAAAAACACCAATATATTTCAAAGCTATATTTGTATCGCCATTCATCTTTCTTTGAAACAAATAATGCTCTCATAGCAAGATAATGAATGTTTCCATTATTACAGAATTAATTTAGAATAGATTCAACAGCATCTGTTTTGTCCTTTTATGCTGAGGGCAATTAAATGCTTTCACTTGAAAGAAAGTCTGTGAAAATCGATGTTGCTAATTAGTTTTTCCAATATCTACAAATGGGTGACGTGACATTTTATATACGTGTACTGTATATACTGAGGCAATCAGCGCTGCATAACTGATTATACACACTTTTATCATCGTATATACCACTCTACATATATGTGATAAAAACGATGATAATGTTTTTTGTGTACTAGCGTGTATAGTCATGTATACTTCAATACTTATTATGGGTAGTCTATTTAAATCATAAATACTGATGCATTTATCTATATATTGACATTAAATCCCGGTATAACCGACAACGTTCGCATTAACTTTAAAATCAGATCTAAAGTTAGATAAGAATACGTTGAAATCAGATAATGAAGTGTGCTATATTTTAAACATTCCTATTGCATCTGATTCAGTATGATGATATACAAGTATGTGTAGCATTTGAAAGGCGAGACAGCCAATATTTGTAGGTGAATTTAATAATACGAGGCGGCTTTCATGTGTAGGCCAATTTAGTAATGAGAGACAGACTTTATCTATAGGTGAATTAAGTAATGAGAGACAGACTTTATCTATAGGTGAATTAAGTAATGAGAGACAGACTTTATCTATAGGTAAATTTAGTAATGAGAGGCAGACTTTATCTATAGGTGAATTAAGTAGTGAGAGGCAGCCTTTATTTGTAGGTGAATTAAGTAATGAGAGACAGACTTTATCTATAAGTGAATTAAGTAATGAGAGACAGACTTTATCTATAAGTGAATTAAGTAATGAGAGACAGACTTTATCTATAGGTAAATTTTGTAATGAGAGGCAGCTTTTATTTGCAGGTGAATTAAGTAATGAGAGGCAACCTTTATCTATAGGTAAATTTAGTAATGAGAGGCAGACTTTATCTATAGGTGAATTAAGTAGTGAGAGGCAGCCTTTATTTGTAGGTGAATTAAGTAATGAGAGGCAGCCTTTATCTATAGGTAAATTTTGTAATGAGAGGCAGACTTTATCTATAGGAAAATTTTGTAATGAGAGGCAGACTTTATCTATAGGTAAATTTTGTAATGAGAGGCAGACTTTATCTATAGGTAAATTTTGTAATGAGAGGCAGCTTTTATTTGTAGGTGAATTTAGTAATGAAAGACAGATTTATTTGCAGGTGAATTAAGTAATGAGAGACAGATTTTATCTATAGGTAAATTTAGTAATGAGAGACAGATTTATTTGCAGGTGAATTAAGTAATGAGAGACAGATTTTATCTATAGGTAAATTTTGTAATGAGAGGCAGCTTTTATTTGTAGGTGAATTTAGTAATGAGAGACAGACTTTATCTGTAGGTGAATTAAGTAATGAGAGACAGATTTATTTGTGGGTGAATTAAGTAATGAGAGGCAGACTTTATCTATAGGTGAATTAAGTAAGGAGAGACAGACTTTATCTATAGGTGAATTAAGTAAGGAGAGACAGACTTTATCTATAGGTGAATTAAGTAGTGAGAGGCAGCCTTTATTTGTATGTGAATTAAGTAATGAGAGACATACTTTATTTGTAGGTGAATTAAGTAATGAGAGACAGACTTTATCTATAGGTGAATTTAGTAATGAAAGATAGCCTTTATTTGTAAGTGAATTAAGCAATGCGATGCAGTCGTTATCTTTATCGTTTTGTTGGTTAAACAGGCAGGTTTGTTTCGGTCCAATTTCTCCTTTTCTTTGATTGCCTAACCTAGTTAATATTTACAAGAGACATCCATCATGGGTTCTGTTTTGGTATTTGATAGAAAGAATTTTACGATAATCATTTCAAGTTGCGACTATTTTTACTTTGAATGTTTCATAATTTTACAACCTTCTTCGCTATGTATCTTGATATTTCCAGGT